TTGCGCTACTTGTGCAGTACGTCGGGCATGGGGCTAGTGCTTGGAGGGCGGAGTCCAGTGGTCCTCACTGGGCACGCGGACGCTTCTTGGGCAGACGACCAGGCTACACAGCGGTCGTCGCAGGGTTACACCTTCAGTCTTGGTTCCGGCTCTGTCTCGTGGCGGGCTACTCGCTCGTCCTCTGTTCTCAGCTCCAGTTGTGAGGCTGAGATCTACGCCGGGGCCATGGCTGCACAGGAGCTTCGTTGGCTCACCTACCTGCTGACTGACCTTGGAGAGCCGCCTCGTTCTCCTCCAGTGTTGTACGTAGACAACAAGGCCATGCTGGCCTTGTGTCGAGAGCAGCGCTTGGAGCACAGAACGAAGCACATTGCTCTCCGTTACTTTCTTGCTCGTGAGCTGCAGCAGCGTGGTCAGTTGCGACTTGCGTACGTGGCCTCTGAGGCCAACACTGCTGATGTGTTCACCAAGGCACTTGCGCCTTGTGACCATCAGCGCTTCTGCACCCAGCTGGGTCTTGTACCTGTCTTGCCTCACTTGCTCTCTTCTTGACCTTGCTTGTACTGTCACATATATATTCCTGCTCTTGCTTGTCTAGCTCTATATATATATGTGTACTCCTGCATGTGAACTGGCCCTGTTGCCCTGTCGTTGTGCTCGGACTGTGTGGTGACTTTGTGATCCACCCTGAGCTTGCTTTGCTTTGCTTGACTGGTCTTGTGACCCCTTGTTCTCCCCCACTTTGCCTATGGGGGTGTGTCAGAACATATATATAGCTTATGCTGTTGTGTAGGCTATAGTGGGGTATCCCATAGGGGGTACAACCCAATTAGGGTTTTCCATATGTACTCACTTCATTCATAGTTCATTCATTCTCGTTCTACTATTCTCAGTTTCTTTGTACCAATAGCCTCTACTATGTATCTAGATGAGGCTGTCCGGGGTTGAGATCATTCGCAACTGTTTTGGATAGGTAGACAAGCGTCGGTGCGCAGAACGGGTCAGATCTGTGCAAGGATAGGCAGCTAATACACTATCAGCAGTACGGAGCCCCGTCCATCGTTTTAGCTCCCGTTTCTTTGTACCAATAGCCTCTACTATGTACCTAGGTGAGGCTGTCCGGGTTTGAGATCATTCGCAACTGATTTGGATAGGTAGATAAGCGTCGGTGCGCAGAACGGGTCAGATCTGTGCAAGGATAGGCAGCCAATACACTATCAGCAGTACGGAGCCCCGTCCATCGTTTTAGCTCCCGTTTCTTTGAACCAATAGCCTCTACTATGTATCTAGATGAGGCTGTCCGGGTTTGAGATAATTCGCAACTGATTTGGATAGGTAGATAAGCGTCGGTGCGCAGAACGGGTCAGATCTGTGCAAGGATAGGCAGCCAATACACTATCAGCAGTACAGAGCCCCGTCCATCGTTTTAGCTCCCGTTTCTTTGTACCAATAGCCTCTACTATGTACCTAGGTGAGGCTGTCCGGGTTTGAGATCATTCGCAACTGATTTGGATAGGTAGATAAGCGTCGGTGCGCATAACGGGTCAGATCTGTGCAAGGATAGGCAGCCAATACACTATCAGCAGTACGGAGCCCCGTCCCTTGTTTTAACTCCCGTTTCTTTGTACCAATAGCCTCTACTATGTATCTAGATGAGGCTGTCCGGGTTTGAGATCATTCGCAACTGTTTTGGATAGGTAGACAAGCGTCGGTGCGCAGAACGGGTCAGATCTGTGCAAGGATAGGCAGCCAATACACTATCAGCAGTACGGAGCCCCGTCCATCGTTTTAGCTCCCGTTTCTTTGTACCAATAGCCTCTACTATGTACCTAGGTGAGGCTGTCCGGGTTTGAGATCATTCGCAACTGATTTGGATAGGTAGATAAGCGTCGGTGCGCAGAACGGGTCAGATCTGTGCAAGGATAGGCAGCCAATACACTATCAGCAGTACGGAGCCCCGTCCATCGTTTTAGCTCCCATTTCTTTGAACCAATAGCCTCTACTATGTATCTAGATGAGGCTGTCCGGGTTTGAGATAATTCGCAACTGATTTGGATAGGTAGATAAGCGTCGGTGCGCAGAACGGGTCAGATCTGTGCAAGGATAGGCAGCCAATACACTATCAGCAGTACGGAGCCCCGTCCATCGTTTTAGCTCCCGTTTCTTTGTACCAATAGCCTCTACTACGTACCTAGGTGAGTCTGTCCGGGTTTGAGATCATTCGCAACTGATTTGGATAGGTAGATAAGCGTCGGTGCGCATAACGGGTCAGATCTGTGCAAGGATAGGCAGCCAATACACTATCAGCAGTACGGAGCCCCGTCCCTTGTTTTAGCTCCCGTTTCTTTGTACCAATAGCCTCTACTATATATCTAGATGAGGCTGTCCAGGTTTTAGATCATTCGCAACTGTTTTGGATAGGTAGACAAGCGTCGGTGCGCAGAACGGGTCAGATATGTGCAAGGATAGGCAACCAATACACTATCAGCAGTACGGAGCCCCGTCCATCGTTTTAGCTCCCGTTTCTTTGTACCAATAGCCTCTACTATGTATCTAGATAAGGCTGTCCGGGTTTGAGATCATTCGCAACTGATTTGGATAGGTAGGTAAGCGTCGGTGCGCAGAACGGGCCAGATCTGTGCAAGGATAGGCAGCCAATACACTATCAGCAGTACGGAGCCCCGTCCATCGTTTTAGCTCCCGTTTCTTTGTACCAAGAGCCTCGACCATGTATCTAGTTGAGGCTGTCCGGGTTTGAGATCATTTGCAACTGATTTGGATAGGTAAACAAGCGTCGGTGCGTAGAACAGACCAAATATGTTCAAGGACTGGCATCGGCGCTACATAGTGTCGTTTTAAGGCTGCGTATTTTATTAATGCGGTGTCTTATTACCGTATTTAGCATTATAAGTATGCATTCCATCGATGCTACACATTGTCGTTTTTGCCGAATGTCGTTTGTTAGTGTACACGTCCATATAATTATAATATGATAATATCTGACGTTTTGAGCATATATATTGAACCAGATTACGCAAATGTTTTAGATACCCCAAACTAAAGTAGCACAATATGGATTTGATCTACACAATTATTGTCAAAGATTTGCAACAGCAAGGTTTGTAAAACCATTTATGAAAGTACAGATTTCTGTACATCAAGTTTGATTGTACATAAGTTGAAGACACTTCTATAACTAGAGTAGCACGACACGTGGCTTTCTAGGCCACGACAGTTTTACACTGTTCAGTTTTGCTTCCAACCGTTCGATCAAACTGTCTCATCTCCGTTCATTCTGGCGGTAAAATCGTTTCCCGCTTCCACGCTCCCCTGCACCGAAATCGAACCACTGTGTAAACGAGTGTGAAGGTCTGGTTTATGGGCAGTGAACAGCGAGGATGGCTTGCAATAGTGACAAACTTCCAGCTCAGTACCCGAACGACAGTCAACGCCCATCAACGGTAGCAATCCCACCATGAAGAGTTGCCACAGAACAAAATCGCACAGTAAACGATAGTTCGCGATAGTTCACGACAGTTTCCAGGCAGTAAACCACACGAAAAAACTGGTCGCGCAATGTCCCTTGTGAACGACCGTTTACGATGCAGTTTTCAGCCCCAGAACAGACCCCCCCCCCCCCCCCCCCCCCCCCTCAGACCCTCATTTTCACATTTTTGCGATGTATTTAGGCAATTCGAATGCGACACGATCTGCTAGCCAGTTACGCGCGGGTCAGTGTAGCGAGAAAGAGGGTGTACCATAGGATTCCCTGTCTCCTCTGCTATCGTCGGTGGATTACAGTGTTCGACAGCCAAGCCGCAATCATGAGACTTCTCCCTCCAACGAAAAGATCGCCAGGTAGCGGCACTGGCAGGCAGGGCGTGCGCAGCCAAGGCGTGCACACGGCAGCCAAAGGCGGCGGCAGCCAAGATGTCAGTGTTACTTATCAGCTAATGAAACAAAAGCAAAGGGCAGAGTTGAACTCAAGTTGCACGTGAGGTGAATCGGAATGCACGTAATGGCCGCTGCACCTTGCAGCCCCGTTACAAACGTTGCTCGGAGCAACGCGAAATGATTCCGTTGGATCCAAAAGTCCGGGATGTCTGTTCAACTTCGAAAGGCCTGTCCTCCCGGCCACTCCCCTCGCGCCCGCCATTCGTATGCACCCTTGCCGACCCGGAGTACGATACTTGTACTACTAATACTACTAAGCAGCGGGCGCCTCCGATCGCAGAGGCTCTCGGCCCGGTCGCTGCTCCTCTCGGCCCTTCCGCTGCTCCATTTGTCACCGACAACTTGAAGGAGAGCAACACCCGGATACCAGCCCGCACTACCGTTTGTAGTGAGCCCGACAAGCGTGACGCTCGAAAGTCGTCGCAAAAATGGAGGGGAGTCCGAGAGGTTTCGGACAGTGGTGGTCGCCGTCGTCGTCGGAGGGGCTACTAGAGCAGTTTGAAGCGAGAAATGAGTCGCAGCAAGCAAGAAATGAGCCGCAGTGGTCGCAGCGGAGGTCGAGACTTTCGCAAGCGAACACCACGGAGTCGCCGGGGCGATCTTCGTCTCATCCTGCCGTCTTGTCCGGCTTGGAAAGCATCTTGACTCGGTTTCCGTCTCTGCCACGTGGCAGCAGCACGGTACCTTCAGCAGCGCCGCCGGAAGCGCCGGCACAGCTGTCGGAGGCCGCCGAGACCGCCTCTGCGGCTGCTGCTCCAGACGTGGCGCTAAGCGGAGAGAGAGAAGACGGCGATATTTTAGAGTGGCTTCAGGCCGTGATGATGGGAGAGTCAGAGTCTCACGGGGTCGCAGGGGCCTTCATGATGGGCGAGTCAGGGTCGCACGGGGTCGCAGAGGGCGTCAACTCTACCGGACCCCGACCAACCGAGAATCCCACCGGCCGTCCTGACGTCCATCCCACAGACCGTACCGACCATCCTAGCACCACTGCTGGCTCCGCCGCTACAGCCTTTGCTACAGCCGAGTGCTTCAGAGGCTTTAACGGCATGGAGAGAATGCAGATGATGGCTTCTTTCATGGCTGCTAACGCTGAGGAGGAGGGAGATGAGGAGGAAGAGGAGGAGGGGGAGGAGGAGGGAGAGGAGGAGAGAGAGGAGGAGGGCGATGGGTCGGGAGAGGACAGGGGGGACGCCCATATGAAGGACAGTGAAGACGGAGGGGGGCACTTCACGGAAACCCCGGTGATGACAGGCGCATCATGTGATGGAAGAGCAATGGTATGGACGGCAGCTGATGCTCCCGCTGCTGATGGCAATTCTGCAGCTTTCGTTGAAGGGCGAGGGGTTCTTAGAGAGAGGAGAGCCATGGAAGTAGGTACTAGTGGTGCTCGCACTGGTGGTACAGGTGGTGGGACTGGTGGCGGTGCTGCTGCTGCTGCTGGGAGTGGTGATGGTGGCACTGGTGGTGGTGGTGCTGGTGGTGGTGGTGGGAGTGGTGGTGCTGCTCATGGTGGTAGTGGCAGTGGTGGTGGTGCTGGCACCGATGGTTCTGGCGGTGCTGCTGCTGCTGCTGCTGCTGGCAGCGTTGGTGCTGACGCTGGTGGTGCAGGTACTGATGGGCGGCACAGGCAGCGGCAGCAGGCGACCATCAAGCTGCGGTCAATGAGAGAGCGGCGCAGGAGAGAACGAATAAGGTGATTGTCTCTGCTGGCAGCTTGTTTCCCCTACATTCTGGCCGCTGGTAGTTGTTGCCTGCCTCACCAGCACATCTGCATGCACATGACACCTGATTTCTGTCCCTCTCAAACGGTCTCTCTGTCTCTCTGTCCCTCTGTGTCTCTCTGTCCCTCTCTCTGCCGCTCTGTCCCTCTCTCTGTCTCTCTGTCTCTCTGTCCCTCTCGAATGGTCCTTCATTGTGATAACATGCAATACAACGAGCTAGTTTATAAATCAGGCACAGGCATGCAAGGGGGGCTGCCTAAGGCAGTTCAAAGTCCGGCTCGAGGATGTCTCTGTCCCTCTCTGTGTTTCTCTGTCCCTCTCTCTGTCTCTCTGTCCCTCTCTCTGTCTTTCTGTCTGCTGGTTCAACACTCCCCGGGAGCAGTGAGTCGCTGAGACGGTTAAGGATGACTGTGCCTCTGGACATCCTGGGGCCGCACCAAGATCTGGGGTCCATGATCGAAGGAGCCGTCAATTACATTCAAATCATGCAGGTACGCTTGCTGTTTACTGCTTGCAGGTACGCTTGCTGTTTACTGCTTGCAGGTACGCTTGCTGTTTACTGCTTGCAGGTACGCTTGCTGTTTACTGCTTGCAGGTACGCTTGCTGTTTACTGCTTGCAGGTACGCTTGCTGTTTACTGCTTGCAGGTACGCTTGCTGTTTACTGCTTGCAGGTACGCTTGCTGTTTACTGCATGCAGGTACGCTTGCTGTTTAATGCATGCAGGTACACTTGCTGTTTAATGCATGCAGGTACACTTGCTGTTTAATGCATGCAGGTACACTTGCTGTTTAATGCATGCAGGTACGCTTGCTGTTTAATGCATGCAGGTACACTTGCTGTTTACTGCATGCAGGTACTCTTGCTGTTTAATGCATGCAGGTACACTTGCTGTTTAATGCATGCATATACACTTGCTGTTTACTGCATGCAGGTACGCTTGCTATTTTATGCATGCAGGTACGCTTGCTATTTAATGCATGCAGGTACGCTTGCTGTTTACTGCATGCAGGTACACTTGCTGTTTACTGCATGCAAGTCATTTGAAACGTTTCAAAACGGTGCACGATCAAAGGCGTGGTCAATCAGCCAGGTCATGCAGGCATGTATTCTTAGTGTTAATGTATGTAACTGGTATATAACTACGAGCTATTCAATGCTGTTACGGTACATTCTGGTTTCGAAAGTGGTGTAACTTCACTAGTGAAGACGTTCTGGGTGACATTGCTGTAATTTCGATCGCTTGCACATGCCGTTTGGCTCTTGAGTCAGACTCGAAATCTGCTTTAACTTGGATCGCTTGCACCTGCCAATTCAGGTGCGCGTGTCGGAGTTGCAGCAGAGAGTACTGGAAGGGGAGATACGAGCAAGGCTGAGCAGGTATATCGGCAGTGGCCCATATGTCTGTGTGCGCTCCTGTCATTCTCCTTCCCCCCAGATGCGCGTGTCGGAGTTGCAGCAGAGAGTACTGGAAGGGGAAATACGAGCAAGGCTGAACATGTGACTCGGTGGCTTGAACAGCCAACGGTGATTGCCTCCGGCTATTGTCACACGAGCCTGTCGGAGTTGAAGCAGAGGTTACTGGAAGGGGAGATGCGGGCAAGGCCAAAGTGTGTCCCTGAGCTGATGGCTTTAGGCCAGAATGTAATTTAATACAGTTGCTCTATGGGAGTGTATATATTAATGCAAAGAAGCATTCTGGGGTGATTTCCGTGTCAACTCACATGTCACCTTGGTTCCTCTTACCGTATTTCCATGTAACCACAAGGGCATCCTTGATTTTGCAATATTGATGTTTTTGATACAACAACAACGTTAAATCTCATACGGTATGATGGCGGTTCTTGAAACGAGTACGGTTTCTAGGTTGAGGCTCCTCCCCCAAATCCCCCAAATCTAGCTGGGATTTGTTTTTTTGCCGGTTCATTTAGTTGTTTCATTCCCCTCCCCGTCCTCCCGCATTACTGTCCCGTACCCTTCATGCACCCTTCACTAATTCCGGGAACAACCTGAACTTGAGCTGGGAATTGCGAAGTGTGTACTGTATGTATATACAGCTGTGTACAGCTCTGTACAGTTCACATGGCACAGAATCCTTGACTCTAGTGTGGATACGATGCCTCGCCAGCGCCACCCAGCACATACAGCACAATTTGCTCGTCTGGTCTGGAATGTTCATACGGCGCGGCTCGGGAAAAACCCCGCCCACGCCTTGGGATGCACGGGGCGCGGAGCTATCGCCGGAAGCGTGGGGCGAAGTCGGCCCTCCAGGATCCCACCTGTTTTGGACCTAGTGCGGCCCTGCGTGGCTCAGTGAAACCCACCGGGCTGCCACCGAAAGCTCCGGGACCCCCCAAAAACCGAAAGAACCCATGTGGTTCTTACGCGCCAATGCATGCGCGACCCGGGGGGGAAACGCACGCAATTGGTCGTCTACATTTACAGGAGGAACATGGCGTGCATTGTTTGAATTATATTTGCATATCCTGTTATAACTGCCTACAGCTTGCTAGTGTATTAGTTAGATATTAGGTTCAACTGCTGGTGGTGTACCCTTTTCCCCTTCCTCTCCTTCCTATTTGTACTCCCAACTTCATAATGAAAGCCACTCTTTTGGCCAACCTAAACTCCCTCGATAACCATCTCACTATGCTACTCTCCCTCCAAGCTCCTAATCTCCTAAGTTCTTATCTCAACATGGTATTAAGAGCTGGGTCCTTCTAAGGACCTTGTTATTTTTCATTCGCCATGGCTGCCATCGTTGCCATGGCGACCGTTGCTGCGCCCTTCGAGGCGCTCGCCCGTTGCCTGCCCCGCGCTGAACGCCCTGTGCTACCCGCCCCACGCGCTGGTCGCCCCGTACCGCGCGCTGTCGCGTCGCCCCGTCGCTGGTCGCGGACGCCAGCACCAGCGCCTCTGACCGTCGCTGACGCCAGCGCGAGCGCCAGCGACGTGCGCCAGCGCCAGCGACTGTCGCGAGCGCCAGCGCCAGCGCCAGCGCCGGTCCCCAGCGCCAGCGGCATGCGCCAGCGCCGGTCGCGAGCGCCAGCGCCAGCAGCGGCCGCCAGCGCCCCCGCCATCGCCACCCCGCTCCCCGCCTCCGCACCTGCCGTCGCTCTCTTCTACGGTGGACGTTGCGGGGGGGAGGTGGCGAGGCTCGCGCCCGCGGCTACGGGGGTGCTTAAGCCCCCTTGAACCCTCCCGCCCATCCCTAATCCTCCTCCTCATCGCTGCCCGTGCATCTGCAGTTCGTGCCGCGTTTTGGGGGGGGGGGAAGAGGGTGTGGGGGTGGCGGGTATGTGCAGGCAGCCGCCTCCCCCTTCTCCTCCTCCTTCCGCTGCACTTCCTCTCCTCCTCCACTCTCCCCTCCTCTCCTTCTCTCCTCTCCTCTCCTCTCCTCTCCTCTCCTCTCCTCCTCCTCTCTCCTCTCCTCTCCTACAGCCGCATCTCCTCTCCTCTCCTCCAGCCGCCTCTCCTCTGCTCTCCTCCTGTGCACCACCACCAGCTTCCTCCTCCTCACCAACAGTTGTGTTTGCTCGTAGATGGCGAGCGACCAGCATCCTTCGCCCTCCGGCTATCCCAACCCTCCTCCGCGCTCTCCGCGCCCTCCTCCGTCCTGGCGTTCACAGGTGCTGCCGGTCAGCCACCGCTGTTTCTGTGCCTATCCCAGCTACAGCAACCGCTCTCCAGGCGACCTGGTGCCAGACACCACTAGCTATAGCCGTAGGCAGTTACGGGGGTGTGTTTGAATTATATTTGCATATCCTGTTATAACTGCCTACAGCTTGCTAGTGTATTAGTTAGACATTAGGTTCAACTGCTGGTGGTGTACCCTTTTCCCCTTCCTCTCCTTCCTATTTGTACTCCCAACTTCATAATGAAAGCCACTCTTTTGGCCAACCTAAACTCCCTCGATAACCATCTCACTATGCTACTCTCCCTCCAAGCTCCTAATCTCCTAAGTTCTTATCTCAACACGCATGCAACTGCGCGTTCGCCAGACAAACAATGCGAGATGATTGGTGGCGAATGCACGAAACCCATCGCGAACAACTTTCGCGCAATGACCGGATTGGGAAACGCGGTGCGAGTAGAGGTTCGGAAAAACAGGCTTCCAGCTGGCGCGATTAGACAGGCGCCATGCTGGCTGACACGTGCAGCCAGTTGATGGACGTTCAGGGTTCCCTGTTTAGCCGAGACGCGATCGCAGAGACGTGGGGAGCACGTCTAAGCCGTGTCCGGTCAATACACCCAGCCTCCCCACATTTTCTCATTTCGCTCGCTAGTTGCACATCATGCGCTACCCCCTCTGCATACAGTTGATACTCACGCAAGTAGTGACCGGTTGTAACAACGATTAGTCCAAGCGACACACGCGAACACGATATTGCGGACGAAACATTGCATCATGTTGTCGCGAGCGTTGCGTAGGAGTAGGGACAGCCTTGTACGATGCATGCATACCGGTGTTCGCGTTGCGGGCACCACACCCGCGCCCCATCCCCACACTGCAGAACCAGCTACCGCTCACCAGCAAAGCATGCCCGCGCTCGCACAGACCTGGAGCATCCCATACGTGCAGCCAGTAAACTTTGGGACCCGAATGTCCGCGTTCCACCCAGAACCACTGATCAACGGGATTCACATCTCTCCGCGGGCGCAGATACCACTAGCATCAGCTACCGTAGCGTTCCAAATGCAACAGGATGATCGGAACGCGCACGGAATATCCACGCCTCATCCGGGTGCACAGACGGACAGTCACCCAACCCAGGTATTTGGGATGCCTGTTCGTGGCTACGTTGGGCCGCAATACGCGAACTACGGGTTTAGGTACGGGTACATCGGCGTACAACCAGATCCGGTGGTGCATTCACCTGTCGCGACCCCTCCTGTCGCTCCCGCAACCCCCTTCCCTAACGCGGTCGCGCCCGAAATCCCACAGACGGCCCAGCCCCCCCCAGACCCTCCTAACCCATCAGTCCCGACACAAGCGCGGACCTCGAACCCTTTATCAAACGCGGTTACAGAGGGTTTAGGGCATGCTGGGACCGGAGAACCCGGGATGAATGCAAGCACGCGTGTACATTCGCCTTCGATATGGAACGTGAACTCACTGTTGCCAGGGAACCCAGACATGCACATCCACACCCCCACGCAACCAACAACTGCGAACGCGACCGGTAGAGGTAGGCAACAGGTGAATAGAGGGAGAGGGGACGGTGGGAGTGGGAACGGTGGGAGAGGGGACGGTGGGAGGGGGAACAGGGGGAGTGCGAACGGGGGGAGAGGGAACGGGGGAAGGGGCCGCGGACGTATAGCGCACGGTGGGAGGGGGCACGGGGGTAGGGCGAACGGTGGGAGGGGTAGAGGAAACGGCGGTAGACCGAACGAAGGTAACGCGAACGGTGGTACCACGAACCATCCCGTTAACAGACCGCGTATAAGGAGACAGAGGGTGGATCTAATGCCCGAGACTGCCCGCAACGGGACGAGGGTGGGGGTCGAGGGGGCCAGCGACGATGAGGAGGAGGACGCGGACGATGATGGGGACGAGGAGGAGGGCGACGGGTGGAACAACGATGACGAAAACTACCTGGAGAACTCGTCGTCCGCGCTAGATGAGGACGAAGCGGACGACCACGATCGGGTGCGTGGTACGCGAACGGCCAGTGAAACCCCGATCGCGGATTGGAACAGGCTTGGCGTGGACGATACCCCGGCCACGAAAAGAGAGATGTGCATGGGAATCCTGTACGGTCTCTCCGAGGCCACCCTGAAAAAGTATCGCGACTGGGCCAACGAGTATAAGCGCTTCATGGAGCACGAGTTGCCGAAACTTGAGGAGGGCAGGTTCGGGGAGGAGGCCACGTTGAAGAACAAGAACCCCGACGAGATTGGGGCCGCGCTAGAACAGAACATGGGTGAGAGATGGAAGAAGGCAAAGGGCAACGAGCAGTAGTTCCACGGCCCCGAGACTAATCCGTGGCGCCTGCGCAAATACGTTACCTTCCTCGCGAACGAGACGGTCGCACAGGCGGACAGGATGGCGACACTCAAAAGGCCTGACAAGACGTTGAAGAAGAGACGCCAGTGCACCCCCGCAATGCTGATGGGCCGGCTCAAGGCCTTGAACCTCCTCATCAAGCTCGATGGGGCCATCTTCCGGAAACCCGTGCTGAACCTGCTACGCGACTTTGCGGAGACACGCATTTGGGTCCGCGTTCAAGTACGCGACCAGTACAAGCGTTTTATCGCGTGAGTATGAGTAACGCGACGAGTAACGCGTGCGTGTCTCTCACAACCACGTTAACTAACACTCGTACTGGTTGCGCAGGGAATACATGGATCGCCATCGGGGCACGGCCGCGGACACGTACACCCCGGATCAGTTCAAGCACATGATGCGGAAGACCAGCATGGACGCCATACTGAGCAGCTTCACGCTTGCAAAACACTACTACACGCAGGCCCTGCATCGCGACCTCTGCATCCGGACGATGACCGTGCTCGGTCATCACACTCTTGCCCGCGGGTGCACGATCATAAACCTTCAGCTGCCAGACATGATGATGTGGAAACTCGGCGCTAAATCGGAGACAGATCCCTTGAAGGACGCGTTCATGTTTGTCTGCGCGTACAGAACGGGCAAGACAAACAAGGACTTCTCGCTCAACTACATATCGGCAGCGCGGCACATCGACTGGACCCTGTGCGCGGTCGGAGCTACTCTCATGTGGCTGCACTGGGTGTACGACGTGGCTCCCGTCGCCTACGAGGACATAGCCCCCCCCCTCGACTTCTCTGAACCCTCGACGTGGTACGACCAGTACCTCTTCTTTCCCTTACGCCAGGGTAACGAGAAGCAGATACCGCCCACGACTCATCACGACTGGGCAGCCAAAATCCTGGAGGACGCGGGAATCACCTGCTCGCGAGTGGTTCACGCGACTAGGGCAGGTGGGGCGCAGCACGCGTCCGCGGACGGAATGCCATCGGATCAGCTGGCGAGGCTGGGGGGGTGGCGCTTCATAGATGTGATGACTAAACACTACCTAACAACGATTCCGAAGGAGGTCGTGCTGCTGAAGGCGGGTTTCACAGGGGTGGACGGCGACTACTACCTGGGTCGCGCGAAAGTCCCGGTGAGCAAGGAGCTGATGAAGCTACTAAGGGAGCACATTTTCCCATGGGCCGCCCCAGACAAAGGACAGAATCAGGTGCATATGTGGCCGCACGGTGCTCCATTACGTTCGCGAGCATTCCGTATATAAATCGTTCATAACCTCGTTCCTTACCACGTTTATTTGTTCGGCACACAGTGCATGGATTAGAACCGGAAGATGGTCAGCAAGGACAAGGCGGAGAAGCAGGACACCGCGGGACTCAACATACTCCGGGAGCTAGACGGCGAGGCTAGGATGGCGGTCGCGCAAGACCTGGCCATGTATTACATTCACCAGCCGCGACACCCGTACGTGGTCGGGAACCCGCTATGCCAGAAGAGGGAGTTCACAGATTGGGCAGCAGATGTCTCGTTGGCGAATCAGCTAGCCCTAGTACAGCGGAATACACCTACTCTGACTCGTGGAGCGGTGAGCACAGCCTGATCGCGTTAGTGATCTAGCATTCTGTCATTGCCCACTAATCACACGCATGTTCGCGCTCTCTGTCCATGCAGGAGGTCAGCACCAGGATGCACGCGCAGAACCAGGTGACTGTCCTCACGGAGTACCTAACACATTCGCAGGCTAAAAACACCAGACTGGCACTACAGTTGGTCGCCACACAGAGACGGGTCTCCGAGCTAGAGAAGGAGGTGGCGGAGCGCGACCTGAAGCTGTCCGCGAAGGACGAGCGCGTGAACGAATTGGAGGCACAGCTTTCGCGACTCAGCGTCAATGGCTCAGTGCCTTCTCCTAATCCAACTCCGGCACGAAATCCCGCAGCCGCTCCCGCGACCGCGAACGCTACAAAGCCCACCGCACAGGTGCCAAAAAAGAAGCCACCAGGGCCGACCAAGGACGAGATGATTCGCGACGCGATCATGCTACCATGGGTCAAGGCGAACAAGCCGTCGGACGGATGGAAGTTGTACAAGTCCGTGCATCCGCTGCTGCTGGAGAGCCCGAAATCTCTACTGGCGCCACGCGGTGCACCAACACGGTTAGCCGAGCTCATTGGAAAGGACGGAGGCGGCCAGAACGCGATAAACCGTGTAAAGCGCGTAATGGATTTCATCGCAGAGAAGGTGGAGCAGGGAGTCGAACTCGTTGTAGTTCTCGACAAGCTCGACCACCTGTCAAAGGTTGTCGGCATCGCGGGCCTCTCGGAAGGGACCGCGACAAAGAAGAAGATTGTGGAGCTGAGTCTGAGCCAGCTCAAGAAGGGGTCACCAGCGGAGGTGCAGTTGCGTGTGAAATGGATGCTCGTTCGCGACCATCTCATTGATGCATCTCTGCCCGCGACCGAGTTCGCGGTCGCGTGGCCACGGTATTGTAGGCTGATGCCTCCGTTAGAATAAACGAATTCAACCATCTCTGGGCCGCGTAGAGGCGTGTTGTGAATACATTGGCGCGTTCGCGTTAGTTGTTCTTGGACCACTTGACCACTTGTGCCCCATATTGACAAATTTGGATTACCGCGATGCCAGATACTGTAAACAGAGAGTCTCGTCCCTGATCGCGACTGAATAACCAGATACCTTGGCACGCTCGGCAGACGCTGCCAGATACTGTCCAGTTTTGAATGTGCGGTTCCTTTATGTTGGTACTGTGCATGTGTTTAGCAGTAGAGGTACGCACACGCACACGCGCAATCCTACCCGCACACGAGTTTCAATGTCCACCGCGAGCACAACACAATACGGTACCCGGTGCAACACGCGAGCACAATGGAAACGTGTACTCATGTTCAGGAAAGTCCACCGCGAGTAGAACTCAAGCAGGGTGGACAAGCTACACTAAAGGCAAGAGACTAGCATGGTAACTCAGGCAAACACGCGAGCACAATGGAAAATCCACCGCGAGCACAACACAAGCAGGGTGTACAAACTACAACACTAGAAGGTACCACACACAAACACGCGAGCGCAATGAAAGCAAGAAATCCGGTTCAGCAAGATCCACCGCGAGTAGAACTCAAGCAGGGTGGACAAGCTACACAAAAGGCAAGTACTAGCATTCAGCCGCGCCTCTTCGCGGACGTACAATCCTTGGGCAGGGCAAGGTAGAGACCCATGTTCTCAAGGACCTTCCCTGCAACCGAGCAGTCACACCAGGTGATGAGCACATCCACAGCCTCGCGGGCAGACGTTTCGACATGCCTGATATCGTTAAACCGCGCCCCCAGCTGGTTCACGACGGCACAAACGATCGTGGCCGCTGCCGCTTTCGGGTCCTCGTCTGCGGCTTCAGCTCCGAGATTGCGCTTCCTCACAGTCTTAATGACGCAGGCGACAACCGGGGGGGAAAGCTTACCGTGGTCACCAAGGCATCCTGCACAACTCGCGGCCACAAAACCAGAATCCGCGGCCACCTTGAGAGTCGCCCCGCGCGATACTTCCCACACCATTGCGATCGCGCACGCGACCGCGCAAGCATAATCGGTCGGCTCCACGTCGCCAATGTCCGGCTCCTCGGATGCTGCCTCCATACCGACCACCGCTGACCAGGCTACCTCGTTGGATGTCATGTTAGACGCCTGAGTGAGCGTCCGAAAGGACTTGAACATGCGCTCCCACCTGCAACGCGGTGGATAGGACATAACATGATAGATCGCGTTGATCGCGTTGCAAAGAGAGGTTAAGGTACAGTGTGCAGCAGGCTCTCACCTGTCCTTGCTGATCGTCAGGTTGCGGAGGTGCATGGTGATGAAAATCCCGGTGTATAACTGCTCAGCCGCGGACACGTCCGCAGCCCACTTGCGGAGCTGCTGGCTGCTCAGGTGAAGACCTGGGTCCACCTTCTTGTCATACGGCATCATCGCGACCGCGGTGAGGTACTGCAGGTCCGCGAGGTCGGCGTGTCCAAGCCAGCGCTTCTTCCCCCCCAAATGCGGTTCGGAAACCTTGCCTGGTCCACCCCTCGGCGGATCGCGGATACCACAGCCCCTGCGCTTGGTGCCAGTTTCTCCTCCGGTCACGCCCCCAGTTTCCCCGCGGAGGCTCCACCACCGAACACCTCAACCGCAGTCTCGCCACCCGTTTCTCCTGTCTGGTCCGACGGCCCAACCCATGACATCACGATATCCTCCAGCTCATCGTCCTCATCGTCGTCGTCGAACACCTCTACTGGTGGAGGCGGCTGCTTCTTGCAACCCCGGCCGCATTTCTCCGTCTTCGGTTCGACCGCGGACGCACTCGGCAGTGCCGCTGCGCTCGCGGTGGGGACAAGCTGTCCAGTGGCAGCAGCAGCAGCAGCAGCAGCAGCAGCAGCAGCAGCAGCAGCAGCAGCAGCAGCAGCAGCAGCAGCAGCAGCAGCAGGGGCGGGTAAGATCGCGGTGTGCTTGGCAACCGCCTCCGAGTGCTGCACCTCAGGCTTCCCTTTGGCCTTACCCGTTACGGCCGGCTCCACCTCCTCCACCTTACCTTTGCCCTTTCCGGCTGTCACCGTAGCATGTGCCTACGAGGGGGCTGGGGGTTTCGGCGCTGCATCTCCTGCGGGGACTGAACGCGAGCTCGAACCCGGTGGAGCAGGCTGTCCCGCAACCCGCCCCACAGCGGTCCACTTCTGCTTTAGGATCTCCTGCACGCTAGGGATGCGAACCGGGGCCGCTGCCGGAGGACCTCGCTACCTCTTCGCCCCACGTTGGTTTTCCGCCTTCGAGGCCGTGACCCGCTTCCCATTGTCAGTGTCACCGAGACCGGGTTCCGCCGTCTCCGTCGCGAGCGGTTCTTCCGTGTCCGCGCGAGGCAGCGCACCCCCGGAAACAAGGGCGATTAGCGTGTTCAGGGCGTTGGTCACCCCGCTAGTGGTGATGGCGCGCTCTGAAGTGGCGGCAACCACGGACGACATGTTGTCGATCTTCCGCCCAACCTCGTCGGTCAGCTTCTTCTGCACCCCTTCCATCGAGTCGGTCACCACCCCCTCCATCCTTGCCAGCCTCGCGTCAATGCGACCCAGGATCAACTCCTCCTGGTTCCTCTGGTCGCGAAGGGCCGCCCTTTCTACCGCGAGCGACTTTGACTCCATCTCTAAAATCAGAGCCGCGTTCACCGATTGCCGCTGCGCCTTCTCAAGGAGGGACACGATCTCGTCGTTGGTAGGTGGCTCGTCACCGCCCCCGCGAGACTCCAGGCGCTTCTTCAGCTGGCCAATCAGTTGCGCCTGTGACTGCAGCTGGCAGTCGAGTTGCAGAATCTCGGCCGCCAGCTTCCTCGATGGGATCGCGGCCAGCGAGTTGAAATCCCGCGCTCCGCGCACAGGAATCTTGCCCCCAACCTCACCTGATGGGCCCGCGCTCCTGGCCGCGGGGGCCAAATGAGCTGCGAGTCGCCTGATGCTTTTACCGGAGGTGGTGGACCTGTCGGCACCCACAGCCGCGACCGCGTTAGCATCCGCCTCCTCCTCCTCCGACTCGTCCATCTCCACACCCACGTCGTGGTTGCCCCTCGCAACCCCCCCCCGAACCTCGACCTCGTCCACGACCCCGACCCTACCGCCACCCCGACGATAAACCACCGCGGTTGACATTTCAGGCTTGCCCGTGTGATCGCGTTCTCCCTCCTTACCCGCAGTAACCTCACCACCATCCTCTCCATCGCGGTCAGGCCTCGAACCCGGGTGCTCCTCGGTCCCGTACTGAGTACCACCGCGAACCGGGAATACAGCCGCGCCAGGGAGCGCGATAACCCCTGCCTGCGAACCCGCGGTGTGCTCCTGGGTATTCCCCTCGTCGTTACCGTGAGCATCGCCACCATGCTTGGGAAGACAAATCTGCACGCTCAAGTTGAACGCGAGCTCCTCAGCGGTGCGGTACGCCTCGTGCCGCAACGCGTTCACTGTCCGGACTGTAGGCCTGGGGTACTAAGGCCCAGACTCTTTGGCAGCCACCTCGTCAAGGTCGTGGACAATCTTCTCGAACGCGTACAGGCACGCGAGGATGCCGCAACAGCCCTTCCATGATGCCGCGCCCTGAAGAACCACGTGGTGTGTGTGAGAAGGGTTGCTGGAAGCCTCTTTCAGACCGAACGCATGCAAATCGACCGCTTACCAGATCCAGGAGACGAGCAGACCCAACAAGCTGGCGGGACCTATTGCACTGAATGGAATCTCACGCGAACTCCTTGTGCGCGCGACCCTTAAACCACCTGCACGATAGAATGGGGAAACTCGTGATAATGGACTTGCAACTGAACAGGATTAACACAATCAACCCGGCTGCGATTCCTACTCGATGATCTTCTCCGTCGCGGTGAGATGTTCCGCACCACCTGGCGGTACGGCGACGCGGACGAACCGCGTATCCCACACCTGGTCACCATCTAGCGACAGGTGGTCTGGGCGAAGGAGCATGAGTAAGCTCGCGTTGGACACCGTCTTGTCGGTCAGGTTCCTGCAAGATGAACAAATTGACCGCGTTAGCACGCGCTGTCTGGGAATCATGCGTTGACCGACAAAGAGATACTCACACGGACCAGATGCAAAAAACGACCAGGCTGCACTCCATCACACCGGCCCAAACTTGGTCCGCGACATCGCGACCCGCGACAATGTCCGTGACAACGTTAGATTTCACGATCTTGGCGTGCTCTTGGACCTCCTGTGACAAAGACCTCCGGAGAAGCGCGCTGTGCGGGCGGAATTCAAACGAAAACATGGCCTCGATTACCGACACGGAAAGAAACGCTAGCATACATACATCCGAACGTCAAATAGAGATACCCCGGGACATCGCGGGACATGACATACGCGATCGCGATAGGAAGTGGGAAAAGGGGCAAAAGTGCATGTCGGTCGGTATCTTACCATGTGACAAAGTCGAAAAGGGGGGCCGTGAACTGATGCTTATCGTCGGCCAGACACTTCCACTGTTCAGGGGCGAGCTCCGAGGTGACGCCCGCGATAGATATCACAGCAGGATAAGACGCGGCTGCAATCGAACCGGATCTAAGCGCCTTGAGCTCACGAGCCATGACGGGCCCGCCTTGAGAGCGCGAACAAAAGTTATGGTGCCCGCGGTGGCAACCTATACTACGGGGATGCGAACGCGGCACCGCTTTTGGTACTACGGCAGGCTACACGTCCGTTAACGCGAGCACACACAACTCAAAAGGTGGAAGCGGCGAGCTAGGGAGTGGAAAATGAGCAGATCTGAAGTTGGATGTGGAAAATGAGCACCGCCAACCCAGGACGAGAACATAAGAGGGGGCTAGAGGGGAACAGGAAGTGGAAGAGGGGAACAAGAGACGGGCCACGCGGTCACGCTGTGCGTGCTTGGGAACCCGGGCCAACCCCTTTGGACCTATCAAGGGGATCTTCCTAACCCCCCCCCCCCCCCCCCCCCCGCATGCACGCGAGAGTAACCACGTCCCGCCAGGTTGCACGCGACCCGCGAACACCATGCATGTGGTGGTTACTACCGCTCGCGGGGGTATTCCTTGCTAAACCCGCCGAAATCACAGGGTATCGGATCAAAACGGCTTACGTGTTCATACACACGTAAAAGTGGAATCGTGTTTCGAGAACACGCCAAAAAAAAAAAAATCACGCCGCAACGGGGCTGATGAACACACTGTCGTTTAATACCATCTCCTGGTTCTTAAAAAGGGCCTCTCATCACGCGGCGAAATTGGTTATTATACGAATGCACGGTCACGTTTACAGTTTCCCTCTGCTATTTAGGGTTTGTTTACCGGCTTCCGGACCAGGTGGGAGAACATCTTCGGTTGGCGGGCTACTGTGGCGACACTTCGCACGCGCGAGTTCGTTTGTGAAGGGTTTCGGAAGGGGCCTTCGAGCCAACACTGCACACCGAAACGATACCGATTGGCCGGATTCGTTTCGTTGGGCTCGAAGTTCGCTTCGCACGCGCAGGATTGGCGTGCGAAGTGTTTAGCGAGGGCCCTCCGAGGCACGCATCGCTCGGAAAGGGCACCGATTGGCCGGGCCCGTTTCGGCGCGCTCGGGGCTCGCTTCTCGCCCTCGGATTGGAGAGCGAGGGGTTTCGCGAGGGGGTTCGCGAGCCAGGGCTGGGTTCGGGGGGGGGGGGGGCAGGGCGTGGGACCACACTGCGTGGCGCTGGCGTGGAGGGGGCTCGGCGCCGGGGCATTTCGCCAGCTGACTCCGCCGCCCATATCTCGCTAGGGACTTGTAGCCGGGCGGGGCACTCCCTCTCGCGTGCAGTTCCCAGCTGGGGGTCGCGACGGGGCTTGCATCCGCGTGCGGGCCCGGTGGAAACCCAATTCCACCGGGGGCTCGCCCGGTGGATCCCAACCCACTAGGGCCCGGATGGACTGTATCGGGAGGACGACATCACTCCAGACATCCCTCCCAAACCAAGCCTGTTGACGGCCACTCCGTAAACGATGTTTGGTTCGGATACAGCTAGTGCCTTGCCTACGCATCACCCCAAATGTTGGGGGGCAATGGGCTGAGCCCAACAGGAATATTTCGCCTAGACGAACTCACCTCGGGTAGGAGATGTGTATTGATTGGGAAACTTTGAACTTCGCAATGTAGGACCTGCCCCACATAAGTGCAGAGCGTTGATCATTCGCATTCGATTATTTTTCAAATGTTACACGCCCATACTCTGCTCCCTCCTTCGTGGTGGTTGGGTGGAACCCTGAAATTGTAGAGTGGCTTTTACGAAGAGGGTTTCGTTCTGTGAGTGAACTGGACTGGCTGTCGGCATGTGCGTGAAACGTGTTTAAGGCATTTCGCCACATTCGCCATTGTCGCCATGGGTAAAAATGTGACTGTAATATGAAATTGGAATGTGAATCGAGTCTAGAGCTTTAAGTTCGTAACCGGGTAAACATTTCTGATGACGGGCAATCGTTATTAACTGTAGATGTTTTTCTTCCGCAATTTGGTGACTGTACCACAATGCTCAATTCAGTCACTCACGGGCAAAAACGTTCGCGAGTTACTGTTTTTTCGAATGTGCTGACCTTTGGACAGGGGATAAGGTGAGCAAGTTGTTCCTCTTCGGAGGTGTCATGCTTGGCTAACCTTCGATTCATTCGTCCCAGCTGACTACGATGTTGTGCTGTTTATAATGGCAAGTGTGCTTCACCGATTTGAAGTGCTACTTAGCCGCCTGAACAGTGATTCATGAGCTGTGTACTCACCATGTATGACACGCCTTTATACTATTACCGTACTCTGTTGGATACTAAGCTAGGGGTTGGCTATGTTGTGAATGTTGGGTAGTGGATATATCTTACACAGCTGCATACAATAACATTTCTTCATCTCTTATTATGCGTAGGAGCTTGGTTCAATACTGAGATATGGCATACCGGCACAAAGAACATACATTGTACTTGATTCCAACAGCCAGCTAACCCTGTCTTATGGAGGTACATAAGGAAGCAACCATAGGGAGCTGCCGGAGTGCTCGCAGAGTGCCGTGCGCATGCTGGCAGGCTACGGACTGTCATGCCATGAGCACAACTCGCAACCTGTGCAATGTGCGGCACACAGCGACATGTCTTGCACAGTTGCCTGACTTGTTGTTGACTGCCAGGTGTTGCAGCTCCCAAGCCCTCCTTACACGCAGGGACGGCGGCAACAGCTGAGGTCGGCAGAGGGTATGGGGCAAGGGGTATTGCTGAAGGCAGTCTCGAGAGGAGGCTGAGACTGCTCCTGCACCGCGGCGTGGCGGATCCAGTCGTAGATCTGCTTTTGTGCAGCTGGAGGGGTGGGGAGTGGGGCGAGGGAGAACAAGGGAGTGAGTGGAGAGCAAGGGTATGAGCATGGCAGGAAGGACAGTGCACAGCAGTGGGATGGGTGGGGAAGCAGGTTGTTTTGAAGGATGAGGACAACACCTGGAGATAGTGCGGAGGGTATGGGGTAAAGCAGGGCAGGGGATGGGGGGAAGAAGAGAAGGGGATGGGGGAAAGCAGGGAATGGGATGGGGGGAAGCAGGGAAGGGGATTGGGGGGAGCAGGGAAGGGGACATGGGGAAGGATGGATTGGGAATGGGGGGATGCAGGTAAGGGGAAGGGGGAAAGCAGGGAAGGGGAGGGGGGAAAGCAGGGAAGGGGATGGGGGAAAGCAGGGAAGGGGATGGGGGGAAGCAGGGCTTGGGAATGGGGGGAAGCAGGGAAGGGGATGGGGGGAAGCAGGGAAGGGGATGGGGGAATGCAGGGAATGGGATGGGGAAAAGCAGGGAAGGGGAAGGGGGAAAGCAGGGAAGGGGATGAGGGGAAGCAGAGAAGGGAATGAGGGGAAGCAGGGAAGAGGAGGGGGGGAAGCAGGTAAGGGGACGGGGAGAAGCAGGGAAGGGGATGCAAGGAAGCAGGGAAGGGGACATGGGGAAGCATTCAGGAATCTTGAACTTGAAAATAGCCATGTAGAACTCGGGCTTTAAGTTCGTAACCGGGTAAACATTTCTGATGACGGGCAATCGTTCGCAACTTGGTGACTGTACCACAATGCTCAATTCAGTCACTCACGGGCAAAAACGTTCGCGAGTTTACTGTTTTTTCGAATGTGCTGACCTTTGGACAGAGGATAAGGTGAGCATCGACTGTATCTCGAAGCATGTGCATTGCAGTGCTGCAGCGGGAACATCACAAGACAAGGTCAATTCACAGCACAGCAACAAGACACAGTACAGTACAGAGCAGCACCGCAACGAACCCACCCGTCCATTCAGGCGCCACCCACCCCCCCCCCCCCCCCCCCGCTTTCTCTCCAGCGAGTCCTCCGCACCACATTTCCATTTCTCCCCCACGCATCTCGCCCGCTATTGGCCAATATACTGGAGATCTCCTGTCAACCTTCCCCCGTCTTTTCCGCCACCCCAATCTTCCCCTTCCTCTCCTTCCATCTTTCGTTCACCACTGGTTTGCAAACTTCATTCACTGTGGTGGTCTGTCTTCTTGGCCTAGATCAACTGAAACATGTCCCCTCCCCTCCCCTTCCTTCCCACACATCACGAATCACATTACAGCACAACTGCAATTTGTTGTCCTCAATTTGGGCGGCTCGGAAGCTTCTGACTTGCCGAATCTTCACCCTTGCTGAAGCATGCTCTCACCTCAGGGCTACCGCATTAATAGTACCGCCCAATTCGATCTCAGGATTCATTCCTCCCGTCCTTCCTTTGTCCGCTTCTGTACAGCTAGCACTGTACGATGACCACGTGGGAGACGCCACATGGGGTTCCTTTCCAGAGAGAAGCGGCTTGCCGTACGATACAGAGGATGGATGAAGAAATCCGTGAAAAGCGGCATTCTGAAGTCTTATGTAAAGTCTCGGCCAGCTATGTGGGAGAGCTCGGGCGGGTGCTGCAGCCTCGGAGCTCTTTTAGTCAGTGAACGAGACAAAGCGGGATTGATAGGTTTGCACGTGAGGCATTGTCGCGTGCGTGTTGTAGCGCGTTAATGCATGGCAAACAGCTGGTTACAGGCGAGTCTTACACGCGTTACTGCCAACGTGACATTTCCGTTGTAAATCTTTTCATGCTAAAAGTCCGGATTTCAAGGCCGGTTCCTCCTTCAGCTAGTCTCGCCGCCTCCGCCTGCATAGCCTCCGGCGGTCGTTCCGTTGACGCTTTCCGCGGTGCGACGTGGAATACTGCGATCGTACAGCACGCCCTGCCGCAGGAGCATCGGCATTGGTCGCTAATACTATCTGAAAGGACATCACCCCTTCCGCCGGAAGGACGTCACCCCCCTCAGCGGCGCTGCTCCTCTCGCTCTCGCTTCTCCACTCACTCTTCTTCTGCTCCTTCTTCAGTTCGCTGCTCCTCTTGGTCCTCCGCTGTTCGACGAAGCGAATAATAACCGGACTCCAGGCTCGAAACATAAAATGGAGGGAATACTAAGAGATTTCGCGCAACTGCCGGAACAGCTTGAAGCAGGGAATCAAACGCCGCATTCGCGGCATTCTCAGCTCTCTCGAGCGCTGTAACGCATCACCTACTTACCCTAGTAGCTATTCTAGCTATGACTCCCTAAAGCGCTACCTACGCAAGGTAGCGACTTACGGAAGAGAGGGTTGGAGGGGATGGATGGTGATTGGTCCAACAATTGTGGACCACCACCCACTAAAAGACAAGCATGGTTGGGAACCAACCCAACCTCCACATTGGTTGGAATTCCAACCAAATAGCTTTTGCACATTTCTGTTACAAGTTACAACATGTAACAAAACAGTCCTTATCACAATTGTTTTGCTCTCATTGGTTGCAAATCCAACCATTGTGCCACCTAAGCAAACTCACCCCTAGGAGCTCCTTGCCCTTGTTGCCATGGAGGAAGTGGAGCTCCCCAAGGAGGTCTAGGAGGGGTGTGAGCTAACCATGCTCATTCTCAACTCCCAACTTCCAATTAACTAAAATGGAAATGGGATTTTCTCTACAAGTACAAGATTTCTCCCTCACAAGTGCTCTAGCCTTCAACTACTTTCTTGGTGAAGCTACTCCATCACTCTTGGAGCTTCAACTACCAAGCCTTCAAGGCCCAAGGCTAGCTTAGGGACTAGTTTATCTTATATATGCTTGTTGTTGGCGTTTTATAAGCCTTCTATAGACCCTTTTTGTGGGCATTTACTATAAGCCCGGGTCTTTATTGTGATTTTAAGGGCGTTTCTCTATAAGCCCGTGTTACAAGCGCGGACCACGGGGTCGGAGCCTTCATCGCCCCACCCTGCTCCCGCCGCTGCCTTATCCGGCTTGGAGCGCATCGTCACGCGGTTTCCGTCGCTGCCACGTGGCGGCGACAACGCAGCGGCGGCGGCGCCGCCGCCGTCACATCACGAAAAGTTCCCGCAGGAAGACGAGTCGCACCGCATGATGATGCTGCAAACGATGATGGCTTTTGAGACGTCTCAAAGGCAAACGATGATGACAATGGCGGCGGCTGAAGATGCCGTAGCAGCGGTTTGTATCTCGCGGTCATCGGATTTCTATGGCGGCGCCGGTGCTGGCGGCGGTCGCGCTTTGCGATTCGAGCCTGCCAGGCTTGGTGGAGGGGAAGGACGCGCAGCTATGGCGTCGCCGGCAGCGCAGGCACAGTCGTCGCGAACAGCGGCCGCGGGAACCGCGCAGGCGGCATTCGCAGCCACGGAAGCGACGGAACGAGTACTGTCGCCGAGTGGCAAAAGAGAAGACCTTGGCGACATTTCGCAGTGGTTACAGGCGGTCATGATGGGAGAGTCGCACGGAGTCGCAGGGGGGGTCGCAGGGGGGGTCCCAGGGGGGGTCGCAGGGGCGGGAGTCGCTCAACCGGGATTCGCATCAGCGGACTTCGCATCTGGGGGGTTCGCAGCGGGGGTCGCGCTAGGGGGGAATGCGCCAGGGTGCTTCGCGCCAGGGGGGATTGCGGGTGCTACAGCCGGTGCCACAGCCGGCGCTACAGCCGGCGCTACAGCCGGCGCTACAGTCGATTTTTCAGAGGCAGCTATGGCATGGAGAGAATGCAGATGATGGCTTCGTTCATGACAGCACGTGCAACAGCCCATGCTACAGCTGGTGCTACAGCCGGTGATACAGCCGAGTGTTTCCGAGGCAGTCATGGCTTGGAGAGAATGCAGATGATGGCATCTTTCATGGCTGCTAACTCGGAGGAGGATGGGGAGGGGGAGGAGGACGGGGACGGGGAGGGGGAGGGTGAGGGGGAAGAAGCAGGGGGGGAGGGGGAGGGGGAAGAAGCAGCGGGAGCGGGGAATGGGGAGGGGGGAAAGCGGGAGGGAGAAGAAGAGGGGGGGGAGGATGAGGGACACTTTGGGAGGGAAGGGGGGGAGGGGGCAGACGACCTGATGAAGCAGGGAGATGGTGAGGAGGGAGGAGGGGGTGTGAAGGAGGGCAGCGGTAATGGACAAGAGGTGGTATGGATGGCAGTTGATGGTGCAGCTACTGTTGGTTTAGCTGCTGCTTATGACACTGCGGCTGCTAGGGGGGGGATGGTAGAAGGTGATATTGGTGCTGGCAGTGGTGGTGGCGATGCTGCTGCTGCTGCTGCTGCTGGCAGTGGTGGTGATGATGATGCTGATGCTTCTGCTGGTGGTGATGCTGCTGCTGGCAGTGCTGGTGCCGGCGGCAGTGGTGGGCGGCACAGGCAGCGGCAGCGGGCAAACATCAAGCCGAGGTCAATGAGGGAGCGGCGCAGGAGAGAAAGAATAAGGTAAGCCAATACTTACACCAATACAGTAGCCCAATAAGATGTGTTGTTTTCAGCTGAATCCAAAGGGTCACCTTGACTCACAGTCGAAGGGCTGCAGTCCTTCGACTATGAGTCAAGATGTGTTGTTTTCAGCTGAATCCACTTCTACCCCTTGTTCCCCCTCGTCCAAATATCTCGTCCATGATGCCTTACCAAAGCCTTGTTTTGAGTCGACTCAAAACATGATGCCTCACCAAAGCCGTTTTTTGTCGAATAACACAATTCTGAGTCGACTCAGAAATTCACTTCTACCCTTGCTTCCCCCACATCCATATGGCCCGTCCACGATGCCTTACCAATGCCTTTCTCATGCATCCTGCCTGTTTAGCCCTCCTCTGACCCTCTTTTTGTTGTTACTTATATACACATACATACATACATACATACATACATACATACATACATACACACACACATACATACATACATACATACATACATACATACATACATACATACATACATACATACATACATACATACATACATACATACATACATACATACATACATACATCCATGCATGCATGCATGCATGCATGCATGCATGCATGCATGCATGCATACATACATACATACATACATACATACATACATACATACATACATACATACATACATACATACATGTACATATATGTATATGTATGTGTATACAGATTGTAGACTCGCCTAATATCCCTTCCACTACCCCGATTTCCCTCCGCCCCCCGTCCTCTCTGCTGCATGATCCAATGTTTCAACGTTCCTGCGGGAGCAGTGAGTCACTGAAGCGGTTAAGGATGACGGTGCCTCTTGACATTCTGGGCCCTCACCAACACCGTGCCTGATATCCCTTCCACTACCCCTCGATCTCTCCGCCCCCCTTGTTCCCCGGGAGCAGTGAGTCACTGAAGCGGTTAAGGATGACGGTGCCTCTTGACATTCTGGGCCCTCACCAAGACCTGGGATCCATGATCGAAGGAGCAGTCAACTACATTCAAGTCATGCAGGTGCGCTAACTGTTGAATGCAGGTGCCCACTGCTTGTGAACCGGGTGTGTTTTGAGTCGACTCAAAGCCGCACCAAGACCTGGGGTCCATGATCGAAGGAGCAGTCAACTACATTCAAGTCATGCAGGTGCGCTAACTGTTGAATGCAGGTGCCCACTGCTTGTGAACCGGGTGTGTTTTGGGTCGACTCAAAGCCGCACCAAGACCTGGGGTCCATTATCGAAGGAGCAGTCAACTACATTCAAGTCGTGCAGGTGAGCTGGCTGTTGTATGCTAGCTGTCAGCTGTGTGCTGGTCATACGGATTCCTTGAGCACGATCGTTGAGCACCTCATGATCTTGTTTCGAATCAACTCAACAATGAATATCTTGTCAAAGTATATGCATGTTATATATGTGTAGGCTGTAGTGGGGTAGCCAATATGGGGTACAGCCCCTTTTAGGGTTTCATACTTGTACCCAACTCTTTCATAGTTCATCCATTCCTGCTGCTTGATTCTGACATATCTTTGCTTCTTTGTGCGCACCTGTCATTGCCAACCCAGATGCGACTGTCAGAGCTGCAGCAGCGAGTGCTGGAGGGGGGGATCAGAGCGCGCCTCAACAGGTAGATTGGTGGTGGTGGATCATACTGTATCATATGAGGCGCCTCAAAAGTCGCACGTGTCATTGTCAACCCAGGATGCGACTGTCGGAGCTGCAGCAGCGAGTGCTGGAGGGGGGGATCAGAGCAAGGCTTAACAGGTAGATCGGCAGTGGCCCATACGACCGGATCGTATGGCCAGCATGTGTAACAGTATCAGATTGCTCGCACTTTAAGAGCGATTGTTATATAGTTATTTATAGAGGGGCAGAGTAAAAGCTAGTACTAGAAGCTTAGGTGCTCTTTGTTAGCTATGTGTGGTGTGTTGCACCCAATGGCTTATCGTGCTATGAAGGGCGTTCTGTCGCGAGTCCATTCCATGCATGTACCATGCAACAGTAGTACGGTAGCCTCATGGAGATCATGTAGTCTCAGGGACAAGAAATCACCCAAGCACTATTAGGGGGGGGTAGAGTAGGTCATGGTGCATGACTCAACCCCCCTTGGGATTGGAGCTAAAACAGTACATAACGCCTAACAGAATTCCTACGTATATGCTGGAGTCATCAGTCTACAGAGCCGAGGCTGACATGGCTCATGATGATGTGATGATCATTAAAGCATGATCGAGTGATAACGGGCTTGCATTGCAGGCTTGTACCGTATCCTGCAATGTAGGGTGTAAAGGTGGGAGGGAAGCTGGGGAGCAGCAGCAGCGGCGACAGCACAGGCATTGAAGCTGGGCTCGGGCACTGGTACTATGCTGACACTGCCCTGTGCCGCATATCACCGCTCCCAACCTTCTCCAATCTAGCTGCAGGCATTGAAGCTGGGCTCGGGCACTGGTACCGTACTATGCTGACACTGCCCTGAGCCGCATGTCACCGCTCCCAACCTCCTCCAATCTAGCTGCACGCGTTAAAGCTGGGCTCCGCATACTGGTACCACACCCCGAGCTGATTATTTGCTACGATCTTCCCCACCCCGCAATCGTCAGGGTCGTGGAACATAATACACTTTCCGCCGCAGTCCCCGTTCTTGGCGCTGTTGGCAATGTAGGCCCAGAGGTTGCAGTAGTCGGCTTGCTGGACCTGCGTGGCGAGGCACTGCTGCTGGCACTGCTTGTAGGACGGCAGACGCACCATGCCTGTTATGTGCTGCAGGTTGTCCCGTAGACCAGGCACCTGGGGGTAGGTAGGAACAGAGGAGGGGAGAGAGAGAGGGGAGAGGAGAGGGGAGAGAGGAGGGAAGAGAGGAGGGAAGAGGAGGGAAGAGAGGAGGTTTATTGGGGTTCAGTTGGGAGCTGAAAGGGCGCTGTTGGCAATGTAGGCCCAGAGGTTGCAGTAGTCTGCTGGACTTGCGTGGCGAGGCACTGCTGCTGGCACTGCTTGTATGAGGGTAGCCGCACCATGCCCGTTATGTGCTGCAGGTTGTCACGTAGACCAGGCACCTGTTGGGGGGGAAGGAGGGGGGAAGTTGGGGGACAGGAGGGACGAGGGGTAGAGGCACGTTGGGATTTCATTGGATTGGCTATCGTAACCCAGACACTGCTGCTGGCACTGCTTGTACGATGGCAGCCGCACCATGCCCGTTATGTGCTGCAGGTTGTCGCGTAGACTAGGCACCTGGAGGGAAGGGGGGGAGAGAGAGAAAACGGGGGAGAGGGGGGGAGGGGAGGGGGGGGGGGGTGGGCAGGAGGAGGGAAGGAGCGAGGGAAGAGAGGAGGAGGCTGAGTCTGACTTTACAATGCTGGAAGAATTACCCTCATTCCTATGAAAGCACACTGCCATTCTCCTCACTATTGCTTCGGGAGCACTAACCTTGTCAAGGGCCGCGCATGGAGCGCACATGCTCTTCCTCCCCGTCGCCACGAACCCCGGCGAACACGCCCTGCACGCGCTCACACAAAGTTATTACCGGTACCTGGCGTTATAGGACTACTGCTAGATCTTACCTTGTCAAGGGCCGCGCACGGAGCACACTGGTTTTTCCTCCCCGTCGCGAAGAACCCCGGCGAACACGCCCTGCAGCTACTCAGCCGCGTGTAACCTGTCACGCACGTCGCACACGCCGTTTCGTTGTCCCACCGCCGAACGCACTGGCAGCTGGGGGTAAAATCCGCGTTATAAACACACGTCCCGTGCCCGTTACAGTCGTTAGCGCACCCCGTGCAGCCCTTGCAGTTGGCTCGGATCTTCAGCCCCGGTGCCCGATCCACGTTCGCAGGCGCGGGCATGCTGCAGAAGCTCACCGAGCCTGTTCCCGAGCCTGCCGCGAGCTGCCGAACCGCAATGTCGCCGGCTTGCGCACGCATGTTGTTACGGTTACCAGCGATAGAGGTGGAGCAGAGGGAGAGGGTTGAGTCTCGAGAAGAGACCAGGATTGCTCCTCCGCCGCTGTCGGCGCCGTTGTTTCGTCCTGTGGGCGGTTGAACCGCGACGTTCTTAAAGAAAGTGGATTTGACTATAGTGAGGCCCTTGGCTGTTGTTGCAATGGCGCCTCCGCCCACCACTGCAGGCATGGGAAAATGGGAAAACGAGGAGGTTTTACTTTCACAAGGTTCGAAAAAGCAGGCAACATGAAAGTCAAATCAACTTCTGAGGAAATTGTGCAAAGTGCCCCGGTTTTTTTAACAAATTCGAGTTTATGAGTCATCAAAGTTGCCTGTATACTCAGGGTCCAGCTATCAGTCCAGCAATACTCACGCGCGTAGTTCTTCTCGAATTTGACCGAGTTCATGTATAACACGTTATCCTCGCTATAAATCGCGCCCCCCTTGCCCTTCTCCGCGCGGTTCCCGCGGAACGCGCACCCCGCGAGCTGCACGCGCGGGCCGCCTACGGGCTCCTGCCCCACGTTGATCGCGCCGCCGTTGCCGCTCTCGGCGGTGTTATTCACGAACTCGCAAAAGGTGAAGAGCAGCGCGCCGGAAGTGGGGGAGGCGGCGCGGGAACTGTTCGAGTAAGGGGCGTGGGGAGCGGTTGGAGTTGGAGAGAAGGGAGAGAGAGAGGGGAGAGAAGGGAGAGAGAGGGGGGAGAGAAGGGAGAGAAGGCAGTGAGATGGACGAAGTCGTTGCCGCTGGCAGCGGTGTTGTTGACAAAGTTGCAGAAGGAAAACAGCAGCCCCCAGCCACCAGCCACGAGCCAGGATAGTTACCTTACTGCCACCCCTTTCCCTTCCCCGTACTCACTTGACCACAGCGCCGCCGCCGGTGGTGCGCGCGACGTTATTAATGAACGTGACTCGGCGCGCCGTGACGGCGCACCCGCCGGTGTGCACGCCGTTAACGGCGTTGCGAACAGTGACTTGCTCCAGCGAGATGAAGCAGTTGAAGCCGCCGGAAAACACGGCGAACTTGTGCCGCCCGTCGATCACGCACTTGGCGGAGCCCGCGCAGCTGCCCTTCACCGCCACTCCCGCGTTGAACCCGAGAGACGGGAGCGGCCTGACAAGGGATAAGTGGAGGATGGAAAGGAGAAAGGGCACGGGTGAGACGAAGTACTTGTGCCGGCCGTCGATCACGCACTTGGCGGAACCCGTGCAGCTGCCCTTCACCGCAACCCCCGCATTGAACCCGAGAGACGGAAGCGGCCTGCGCGGATGGAGCATGCGCGAGATGATGTGGGGATTGAAATGAGAACTGGTATCCGGCAGTTCACCGAATGGGCATGGCTAGTCTCGAGCTGTTATCCAGCAGCGCTACATGGCACCCAGCAGTGCATCCAGCAGCGTCTCAAGAACCGGCACCCAGCAGTACATGGTGATTCGGTGGAATCTAGACAAGCCGCAGCGTACTTTGTTAGTAAGACGTCGGACGTGAGGTGGACGGTGATGGTCTTGCGCTGCGAGTTGGCCGTGTCGATCGCGTCGCGAAGCATGTCCTCCGCGTTCCGCCCGCTCGCCGCCATCGTCCCCGCCGACAGCTCCTCGAAGCTTCGCAGAAGCTGCCGGTCGCTTTCCTCTCGGCGCCTGGACACGTCGCGATGCGGACCGCGGACTAGAGAAGCGACGGGAACGGCGCCGGAATCAGCGGCGGAGATTGCGGGGAGGAAAGCGAAGCAAAGCACGAGGACGAGGACGTGGAGAGGGACGCGATTCGAGGCCACTGGCTTGACGCACTTCTCCGAGGAGCAGGAGGCGGAGGCGACGGAGGAGGAGGAAGGGGAAGGCTCAGCGTGGTTTCCCGAGCAAGAGAAGGAGCTTGAGGTGGAGGAGGATTGGAAGGGACGTACGCGAGAGAGTGAGGTGATTAAAACATCTAGACGTAATAGCGACGCCATGACCTGTATTTATTATCAGGTGCGAGGACGCGGGTGAAGTAAAGTAGAAGAACCTTGAGGTACGCCTGTGAATATAATACGTATGAGGATTACGGAGAGAAAGGCTCTTCGGGAAAAGTAATGATGCACCTATCAGACGTTAGGGCAGTAGACGGGGAGAGAGAGCTGTTGCTCAACGAGTAGTGAGCCTCTGAGAAACCTTACTTGCGAGCTACTCGAAGTGAGCAGCTGTATTTATAGCATACTATCTCTGTACCTCGTGACAGAAGGGGCTGCAGGAAGGGGAACGCTAGGTGGGTGGGTGGGACTCTCGACTTGCTAAACGACGACGATTCGGTGGGGGTTTGGACGGAGAACTTTGAACATTAGGAGAGTAGTGTCCGCTTTGGATACTTCGACGACGGATTCTAGAGGAAATGCTGAGCTGCTGCGATACGGTGCGCCGCCAAATCTGGTGCACAGAGCGTTTGACGAAGCAGCAACGCTCGGGGAATGACAACGGATGTATCAACGGGTAGAGAACGGAAAACAGGGAACCTCGCGGCTCAAGTCTAGGTGGACAATGGTGTCGAGGCATAGTTAGGGAGAGCATGCATAGAAGTATCCATGCAAAAGCAAAGCTACAAACCAGGAGTCGGGAGAAGAGAGTCTGCAGCACTGGTGTATCTGCGTGTTTGCATTCCGTTTTGAAAAAGGGGCGCAATGTCGGTTTGAATTTCTGCTCGCGCCTTGGCTGGCGAATTTTGAAATTTGCACAAGATTTGAGAGATTTCTACCATTCCGCGTCGCATTTCTAAGATTCGTTGTTCAAAATACAAGGACGTTGAATTTGCACAAGATTTGAGAGATTTCTACCATTCCGCGTCGCATTTCTAAGATTCGTTGTTCAAAATACAAGGACGTTGAGCGGTCCGCGCGATGAAAATCATAGTCACATGTCGGATAACTACAGTGCGATATATCTGGTTTGCTACTTGTGTACCATTATCTTACTATATTTTGAACTAAATTATTAGTGGAACTGTAAACCAGGTGCACTAAATGCCTAATACAAGTGGTCAGATAATAATACGCACAGCAAGACAAGCATCAATCATAACGCCTTCCTCTCGATATGCATGAACTACGGTACAAATGACTCAAGATGAACAAGACAGCATGCAAACCCCAGGCTTGAGTGCCCACTCGGGAGGGGGCTGGGCAAATTCCTCCGCCCCTGGTTGCTCCTCATAGGGGTTCTGCAACACTTCCTGTAACCGCTGTGTAACACTGAAATCTCCCTGTTCAGCTGCCTCGATCGCCAGCTGGCACTGGTAGTTGCGGAGGATGTAGGCCGGGTTGACTGCATCCATAGCTGCCCGGCGGGCAGCATCTGAAACCTTTTCAGCCCGTAGCTGAAAGCAGGGACAACAGAGAAAAGGACAAAGAGAACAATCTGCAGGCCGTGCGGAAATAGTGGAGAGGAGGCTAGGCGAGAGAGGAGGCTAGGCAAGAGAGGAGGCTAGGCAAGAGAGGAGGCTAGGCAAGAGAGGATGCTCGGCAAGAGAGGAGGCTATGCAAGAGAGGAGGCTAGGCAAGAGAGGAGGCTCGGCAAGAGAGGAGGCTAGGCAAGAGAGGAGGCTAGGCAAGAGGAGGCAGTATCAACTGAAAAGCGAGCAAGAGCCGAGACACAGTGCTGTGTGTGTGAGAGATGTGCACACGGAAATATAGGGGAGAATCATGCGAGGAGGTCAAGAGAAGGACAGGGCACAGGGCAACAAACATGTCAGGCCATCCCACCTTGGCAGTATAGAGACGAAGCCAGTCCACCCACTCCCTCTCCTTCTCCCCCTCCTTCCCTGCCCCCTCTTGCAACCCCAGCGCCCCCCTCATTGGCGCTAGCAGGTCAGCATCAGACTCTTCTGCAGAGGGGGAAGGACAAGGCAAGGGGAAGAGAGAACCGGCAAGGACAGGGAGGATATGATGCAAAATCAGCAGGTCATAATCTGGGGGAAGGACAAGGCAGAACGTTTCAGCAAGAACGGCACTGGCATAGGTAATGGCAAGCGCAGAGGGACGGGCAGGGGGAAGGAGAAGGTCAAGGAAGACCCCCACGCTACCAGTATTCCCAACACCAGATCCTCGTGCATTGAGGTGTATTTTGAGGCGCCTCAAAATACACCTCAGGGGGAAGGAGAAGTTCAAGGAAGACCCCCACGCTACCAGTATTCCCAACACCAGATCCTCGTGCATTGAGGTGTATTTTGAGGCGCCTCAAAATACACCTCAGGGGGAAGGAGAAGGTCAAGGAAGACCCCCACACTACCAGTATTCCCAACACCAGATCCTGCTAGACGTTCCCCTGTAGCAGCACCCACCTCGTTCAGCGGGCACGCGAGCAAGAGAGCGGAAGGTGTTGGTGAAGTCAGCCCCATGTTCGGCCATGAGCTGCAGCAGCGACTGCGTGAGGTCCTTGTCATATGCGGGCAGACCCAGCTTTTCCTCAACACAAGCACCCACCTCTTTCAGCGGGAACACGAGCAAGGGAGCGGAAGGTGTTGGTGAAATCAGCGCCATGTTTGGCCATGAGCTGGAGCAGTTACTGAGTCAAGTCCTTGTGGTATGCAGGCAGACCCAGCTTGGCCTCAACACAAGTACCCACCTCTTTCAGCGGGCACACGAGCAAGGGAGCGGAAGGTGTTGGTGAAATCAGCGCCATGTTTGGCCATGAGTTGGAGAAGCGATTGGGTGAGGTCCTTGTTGTATGTGGGCAGACCCAGCTTGGCTGCCATGCGCTGCTGGTAGGCTGACAGGAATGCCTCCGCGTACCTGGGATGGGAAATGGGGGGGGGTTTGAAGGAGGACATGGGGAGGAGGGCGGCGAGTGAGTGAGGTCCTTGTCATATGTTGGCGGACCCAGCTTGGCCGCTATGTGCTGCTGATAGGCAGGCACGGAGGCCTCCGCGTACCTGTGATGGGAGATGAAGGAAGTAGTCCGGTTAGGCTGAAAAATGTGCGCCATGTCACCCACCTGCCCCACTTTTTAAATTTTGTTTTGCTTGCTTGATTGTTAGTGTGTGTGAGTGATTAGTTTTGGGGGGGGACTGAACCACCTAGCCAACACAAAACCCGAGTCAACTCAGAAGCCAACCAAGCCCGACCACCCATCGGGCTACCCAAAAAGCCAACCCTCCCCTTCCCACCCACCTCGACACCCCGTGCTGGGCTTCGGCCACTCCAATGATGCCACCTGTCACGAGCGTATTGGTCAGCTGCACCACGTTCCACAGCCCAATATCCGGCTGCTGCCGGAAGCAGTATCTCCTCCCGGGCATGTCAGACGTGTTGCAACGGGGCCGAAAGGCTCAGAGGAATCGAGAAACCCAAAGGGACCCTAGTGGACTGTGGATGGTGGTAAGGACTGTTAAGGACGCCTTACACTTTGAGACACGTCCGACAACCCCCAGCCACATACACACCTGGAGACTCCATGCTGCGCCTCGGCCACTCCAATGATGCCACCTGTCACGAGCGTATTGGCCAGCTGCACCACGTTCCACAGCCCAATATCCGGCTGCTGCCGGAAGCAGTATCTCCTCCCGGGCATGTCAGATGTGTTGGGAGTGAAATCCGGGTCAAAGGAGTCGAGGAAGCCAAAGGGCCCGTAGTCGATGGTGAGGCCGAGGATGCTCATGTTGTCCGTGTTGAGCACGCCGTGTGTGAACCCCACTGCTTGCCACCCCGCCACCAGCTCTCCTGTTCGCTTTGCTACCTCAGCAAACCACGCTGGGGAGAGCAGGCGGGCAGGGGGGGCGCAGGGGGAAGGGCGGGGGGAGGGGGAGGGGGAAGAGAGGGGAAAAGGAGGGGGTGTTGGGGGTAAAAATCGGGGTGGAAGGAATCGAGGAAGCCAAAGGGCCCGTAGTCGATGGTGAGGCCGAGGATGCTCATGTTGTCCGTGTTGAGCACGCCGTGTGTGAACCCCACTGCTTGCCATGCTGCCACCAGCTCTCCTGTGCTCTTTGTTACCTCCACAAACCATGCTGGGGGTTGGCAGGGGGACGGGCAACAGGAGGAGGAAGGGGAGGGGGAACGGGAAGGGAAAAGGGGAGTAGTTGGGGGTGGAATCCGGGTCGAAGGAGTCAAGAAACCCGAAGGGCCCGTAGTCGATTGTGAGGCCGAGAATGCTCATGTTGTTCACAAGTGAACGGAAGCGCAAGTGAACGGAAGCGCAAGTGAACGGAAGCGCAAGTGAACGGAAGCGCCAACCACATACCTGCATACTTGTTTGTCGTGACATCCACAGCATCGGGATCCCCAACCTCCTCGTCCTCCTCCGAGCCTGGCTCCCGGACCTGCACCGGAGGCTCGGGGAGGTCGGCCAGGTGCGGGAAGTGGTGCAGAATGGTGTAGTCTGCAAGCACCCGAACCATCTCCTTGTCCAAACCTCCCCGGGAGGCATGGAGCTGGAACGAGCCGAACCTGTTGGGAACAGAAAGAGAATTAGATGGGCGTGAGAACATCACATAAAAAACGTGCTTTAAATAATGAGAAATTTCACCAACCTCGTTTTTTCCAATGACAGCCCTGATGCTCTAACACAACCGTCAAGTAAACAGTCTGGTATAGGTGTATCTTAAGCAAACAAAAGCGACCTCATGCAAAAACGGCACCTTGTGTCAATGCTGCTTGAGTAGATAGGAGGGCTGACCTGATGAAGGAGGACTGACCTGATGAAGGAGGGTGCCACACGACACACAGCAGCTCCGGGCTCGAACTTGGCGTTGCCACTGACGGGGATGGAGGGATGGGGTGGATGGGAAAGGGGATAAGGGGAAGGGGATGTGATGGGATGGGGAGACGAGATGATGGGGATGGGATTGGGGCGTGGGGATAGGGAGCCCTGTTGAAGGAGGGTGCCAAGCAGCACACAGCAGCTCCGGGCTCGAACTTGGCGTTGCCACTGACGTTCAGAGGGGGATGGGGGGATGGGGGAACGGGGGGATGGGGGAATTGGGGGATGGGGGAATTGGGGGAAGGGGGATGGGGATGCGACAATGAGAATGGAGAGGCCTGATGGGGAATGGGGTGCCACGCGGCACACAGCAGCTCCAGGCTCGAACTTGGTGCTGTAACTGATGGGGATGGAGGGATTGGGGGATGGAGGGATGGGGGGATGGGAATGGAAATCGGGTGACTACGAAGTCAACACAGACGATCACTCTCACTTGTCAAGAATAGGTGACACTGAAATAAACACACACAGTCACACCCACACTCACTTGTAGAACATATCTCGCAGCACCTTCTCCCCAGTGGTGACAACAGAGAGCGCCCTCGTTGTAGGCACACCCAGGGCGGCCATGGCCTCGCTACAGAGGTACTCTCTAATGGAACTGCGCAGCACAGCGCGCCCATCCGCGTGCCTACTGTACGGCGTCTTCCCCACCCCCTTCAACTGCAACTCCCACCGCTCCCTCCACCCCTTCCCCTGCGCGCCCCCCCCCTCCGCGGCTTCCCCCAGCACCACCTCCCCCAGCGTGATGGCGCGCCCATCCCCCAGCTGCCCCGCCCATGACCCGAACTGGTGCCCCCCGTAGCACTGCGCGTAGGGCTTGCTGCAAGGCGTGAGGGGAAGAAACAGGGGAAGAACGGGAGCGGGCAGGGGGGGGTACGCGGGAGAGGAGGGGCAAAAGAGGGTGGAGAGAGGAGGTGGGGACCCTCGAAGCACTGCGCGTGAGGCTTGCTGAAGAATGTGAGGAGAGAGGGAGGGGTGTGAGGGATGCGGCGCATTTCTACTCCATGCTCCTCAGGCCTAGATTATTTCTGGATTCGGGGTTAAAACACGAATGGCCTCTGCCCTAGACGACTGGTTTCCCAGGCCTGACGCACTTGACAAATTCAGTGCAAGAATGAAAAAGCAGGTTCCTCTACTCTCAGCACTCACAAGCCCTGAAGCACAATGCCTCCTGTGAAGACCGCAGGGAACTCAGCGCAAAGAGGGAAAAGCACACGGCTTTCCACTGAGCACTCACCAGCCTTAAACACAGCTATGATGCGCTCCGGATTTTGGTTCAACACTCACCAGCCCTGAAGCACAATGCCCCCTGTGAAGACTGCTGCAAATTCAGGACGCGTGAACCTGCAACAGGGAAATGAGAGTAGACGGAAATACAGAATAAGTGTCAGCGCGCTATACACATAGTTACTAAATCCAGCGCTATTCCAGGGCTTCCAGGGCCAGTGAATTCCAGGGCCAGTGAATTCCAGGGCCAGTGAATTCCAGGGACAGGGCTAGCAGATCCCAGACAATTTCATGAATGAACTCACTCGTTGGGATCGAGGCCAATCAGGTGAGCCACGGAGTCGGACGCGGCGACGACCTGCGGATCCTTGAGGTTTAGCGACGGTCGCACGTGGGAGTAACACGCGTTGCGAACCTGTGATGCGCAGAGAGGGGACAGAGCAACGCCACGTTGCAGGTGGTCACAAACGTGCAGCGAAAGACCGCAATGAAGAGCCTTTTTAGGTCTAAATTGGTCAAATTTCAGTCGCTAGCTTCACCCAATCACAACAGAACAAGCCGCCAAGAAGGAAAGAAGATGATGAAGAAGAAAAGAAGTGACTACTACTATCAGCGCCGAAAATCTCCTTGCATAAGGCACATACGATTCGGACGTGATTTTCTTCAACAGGATCCCCAGGCAGCTTGTCGACGAACGTGCTCTCCCATTCCAGCTCCTCCAGTCGCCGCACCGCCTTCCCTCCCCCCGTCACCGCTCCCGCCGCGGCTGCTACCCCGGTTTTCGCGCCGGTAGGAGCCTCCGTCACTTGCGACGACGCTGCGGCGCCGCCATCCCCTGCCGCCGCCGCCGCCGCGACAGTGATTGGCCTCGCGGGTTGTTGCTGATCGGCCGAGTGGCCGCCAATTCCGCCGCCGATCCCGGCGACCATTGCGGCGGGATGGGAAAATCGGTTGGATCGGTACAGACGGTTCCTGGTAACGCGCGTGGAGATTAATCCGGAGCGAATCAGGCGATCGCTAAGCGAAACAAGCGACTGCTTGGGGGAAAGCGCGGGCGACACACGTGCGACGGCGGAGAGCTTAGATAGGGAGGAGGCCCCGGTGAAAAGGGCTCCCATGCCGGCTATCTACGCGACGTCTGACGCTCTGCAAAGCGCGCTGGGCACTGACGAGACGAATTCTACGCTCAGAAAGAGGGAATTCTAGGTCCAAATCAACACGGCATGCTTGCGTGCGTCGCCCGTTACACGCTTCAATCCCCCGAAAGCAAACAGGTGGAAGAAAAGGCAGGCGAGGACAGGGAAGTGGAAAAACTGAGTTGGAGCAAAAAAAGGAATCAGAGGAATTCGCTCCTAGTGGAAGTGTTGGAGGGGAGGCGAGGTGGAAGTGGAATGGAGCATAACTGCATAGGAAAGGGGAGGGAGAGTTGATGACGGTGGGTTGATGATGGATCGAGTCGCCATTGCTGGGAGGTTCCTGGGTAGTCACCTCCCGAAAAATAGGAATCCTCGGTGGTCGAGTAAGATGTTTCAAAAGAGCCATGAAACTCTCAGTCGTCTGAATTCTCTAATTGTTCTCACACAAATTAGGAAAGGTGTTGGTGTCCATAAACAAAGATGTTTGTTGAGAAGCAGACCGTGGTCAGAAGAATTGTGGGAAAAAAACACCTACAGGTCAGGAAATGGAATGGCTGAGCGACACGTGGCCCAGAACCCGAATTCAGGAATCTGGACACCACTTTTACCAGCGGACATGCAGCAGGACCTGTTGTCAAATTATTTGCTGAACTTAAGGCTAGCACAATATCTTACAAAACGTTTCCTAATCAAAACGAGTTATACATATCGGGTACGAAACAAGTCTCATCTCATCCTGCCTGCACCGAGTTCCCAAGCAGTCTCGATTTTTCTTCAGTTTTTGCACGCGTTTCCATCCCAGCAGCAGCCGTAGTTCACGGCTTTAGACAATAGCCAATTAGAACCCCTGCCGCCACCATGGTTCCTTGCACAGGTATTTAAATTTACTTTTCGCGCCCGATGTTTGCGGCTTCCATCTGAAAATTGCTTGCAAACCTAGAGACTGGACCTTCTCAATCCGTACTTGTTTCCGTTCCGCTTCCTCCATCAACCCATTGCCACCTTTCGCCTCACTTCATCGCTGCATTGATTTTTATTTCTCCCTTCTCCGCCTGCTCTCTTCCGAAGAGAGCTCTAAACCCGACTCGGGCCTTGTGCTGTTGATGTGTTTATCCACTCCCCACCCACTTGCGAGCAGCAGCAATGACGTCATTATCACCCGCTTCAGTTACATCAGCAGCGTCGATGACGTCAACTTCATCAGCAGCAGCCTCTAGATCATGCATGTTTGTCCGTAGCCGGTCAGAAACAGTGCAGAGGAGACCATCATTGCCACCCCTGCCATCATTGCATGCAAAGTTGCCTGTAACAGCATCTGCTGCTTCGGTGGTAACCGCTTCTGCGGAAGTTTCAGGAGCTCGGCCTTCTCGGGTACGGTCAGCCCTCTGTTCAGCCAATCTCCCTCTTCCTCCGTCTCCACTCCCCCTGTTTCTCCCTTCTTCCCGCATTCTCTGTCCCCCTGCTTACCCCTCTTCATAATTCCCTTCCTCTTCCTCCCTTACCTTCAGTTTTTTGCCCTCAGTCTCTCCCTCTCTTGATTGCTCTCTCTTTCTTGGTCTCCTAAGTTGTCAAACTTAATGTAGTCCCCTAAGTTGTCCTCGTTTAAGTGTTTCCAGGCAGATCCCTGCATTTGTACCGGATTCTTCTGGTGTTTAGATCCATATGCCCCCTGGTCCCCCTGATCCCCCTGGTCCCTCCCCCTGGTCCTTCCCCCTGGTCCCTCCCCCTGGTCCTTCCCCCTGGTCCCTCCCCCTGGTCCTTCCCCCTGGTCCCTCCCCCTGGTCCCCCTGGTCCCAATGGCCCCCCTGGTCCTTCCCCCTGATCCCCCTGGTCTCTCCCCCTGGTCCCTCCCCCTGGTCCCTCTGGTCCCTTCCACTGGTCCCTCCCCCTGGTCCCCCTGGTCCCTCCCCCTGGTCCCTTCCCCTTGTCCCTCCCCCTGGTCCCTTCCCCTGGTCCTTTCCCCTGGTCCTTCCCCCTGGTCCCCCTGGTCCCTCCCCCTGGTCTCCCTGGTCCCCCTGTTCCCTCCCCCTGGTCCCCCTGGTCCCTTCCCCTGGTCCCTTCCCCTTGTCCCTCCCCCTGGTCCCTTCCACTGGTCCTTCCCCCTGGCCCCCCTGGTCCCTCTCCCTGGTCTCCCCAGTCCCCCTGGTCCCCCTGGTCCCTCTCCCTGGTCTCCCTGGTCCCCCTGGTCCCTCCCCCTGGTCCCCCTGGTCCCTCCCCCTGGTCCCCCTGGTTCCCCTGGTCCCCATTTGCCAACTAATGCACCTTCCATTTACCCTTGCCCTTCCCACCCCCTCCTCCTCCCTTCCCTCTCCTCACTCCCCAACTCTCTTCAAATAAGGTATCCCTTTCATTCCCTTCTTCTAACCCCCATGTGCCAGCTACATGCAGGTCGCTCAGTACACTATGAAACAGCCAACACTTACGTTTTTATAGCTCCAGGCGAAGAGGAAGTGTTCCTTTCCCGTGAGGAAGTGCTACAGTGCCTTTTGAACGAGCTTCAAAACTGGGAAAAGGACGGAAAGCGCCTGTCGGACGACTTGGCAGTTTTTGAGACTCTGGAGGAAGCAGCAGCGTTTCTGCTCGACTCAGCTTGTGAATTGGAGTTGGGTGGCGGGAAAGGTGCTTTGCAGTGGTTCGAAGTAAGGCTGGAGGCCAATTCGTCTGAATGAACTTGACTACAAATTGTACTTACGATCTTTCACAATAAGGCCTTCTTGAGTATATAAGCATTCTAATGTGCCTGTCTCTTTAAGATCCTAAGCACTATGTCAAGTTTGTGTTCATTCATCTCTATGCCATAGTCATAAAGTCCACTCTTATATTCGAATGTGTTGTATAATTGTGTTAGGAGTATCTTAGTCTACCTTTTATGATCTACACTCCTAACTCCCTCACCTCCCCAGAAGTCGCTAAGGTTTTTGACAGTATTGCGGTAGATTGGTTTGTACCGAGGATGGCATTCTCCTTTTGATCCTCCACGATCTCATTTTCAGCACGATTTTTCAAGCACTAGGATATGATACGATAGATGCAGCTTTATTCGTTCAGAAATTAGCATACAGTATCCCGCGTAGCCGCCTGATGGCGCTTTGCGATAAGAGAAGAGGTGGTGACAGGGGCGCGATTGCGTCGCTGCTCAGTCGTCTCTCATGCGACGCCCGCGAATTCTCCTTCGGTGCGACGGGCGACAGCGACAGCGATGACGATGCTGGCGACACTGTCGCCTCAGCCGCGAAAGTCGCGCGACCGCCGTTCCTAGAATCGCGATTTCGTCAGCAGCCGCACGATCTTCTGCTAAAAGCGAAGCGAGTGCTAACGCGTACAGAGCAAGCACAGCTCCTAGCTGTGGCTCTAGCGATCCTCCCATAGTTCTCTCCCCCCTCGAATTCTACCGCGACTATGTAGCGGCTAACCGGCCGTGCGTAATAACCGGCGCCCTCAGCCATTGGCCAGCATTATCCCTTTGGCAGACCGACCAGTATTTAATCGACGCGCTCGGGGAGAAAGAGATAACGGTGGATTTCACCCCTGACGGTCACGGCGACGCGATTGTTTGGCGAGACGGCATCGGACGGTCAGAAGCTGAATCAGGGAAACGGGGAGTCGAGAATCTGGGTTCAGGGCGTAACTCGAGGGGAAACGGGGGAGCTAGTACCCAATGTGACTGTAGGAGCGGTGACGATAGCGGGGCACGGAGTGGTGAGGTAAGGGAGAGTTGGGGTGTTCGAAGCTGGGTGTTTTTTCCTGGGGAGGAGGGATGGGAGAACAAGGACGGGCGGGATAATAGGGAAGGCCGCAGGAATAGTAATGAAAGTGGAAGCGACGAAGAGGCAGAGGGGGCGGAAGAGGAAGCAGAAGGAGAAACTGAAAGGGTGGGGGAGGAGGAGGAGGAGGAAGCAGGGCGGATAGATCATCAGGGACGGAAAAGGGAATGTGAAGCAGCGGAATGTCCAGAGGGAAATAGTGGCGGCAGCTGTAGTGACAGCATTCCGCGGGCTTGCCGCTGTGACTCGCCCTGCGCGTGGTTTGTCACCCCACACGAAGCTTCCCTCACTCTCCCTACCTTCCTCCGCCTCCTCTACTCTTCGCGCTCTTCCCCCTCACACTCCCCCTCACACTCCCCTTCACACTCTCCCTCACTCGCCTCATCGCACCCCTCACGCTCGCCCTTCATCGGCATTCCCTATGTTCAGCATCAGAATGGTAGCTTCAGGACAGAATTTGCCGCCCTGGCTGCAGATGCGGACGAGCACGTCGGATTCGCCACAGCTGCGTTGGGCGGCAACCTGCCCGAAGCTGTAAATTTATGGATTGGGGACGAGCGGGCAGTGACAAGCTGGCACAAGGACCATTACGAAAACTTCTACGTGGTTGTCACGGGCAGAAAAACTTTCCGGCTGCTGCCCCCGCTGGACGTGTTCAGGATGAGAGTGCGGGAATACCCTGCTGCGAAATACTGGCGGGCAGAGGTACATCATGCCTGCCCTGCTGCCCTCCTCTGGTGAATTTTAAGGCGCCTCAAAAATCACCTCAATGCTCGTTTTGAGGCGCCTGGAAAATCACATCATGCCTGCCCTCCTTTGGCCGCTTTGCTATTCTGCTGCAACTCGCCTTGCTCGGCTTCTCATTCCACTCACCCCCACAATTCTCGCTCAGCTCATGCTGACGAGCTGAGGTGGGGGCTCTTTTCTGTGCTCTTCTCTCTGATGCCTCACGATTGCCACATGTCGTCTTATCTGCCTGTACCTGTGGTTATCATACCCGCTTGTTCCCCATTCTCCCCATGCATGCATGTGATCTGTTCCCCCTGTTTTCCCTGTTCCCCCTGTTTTCCCTGTTCCCCCTGTCTCCCCCGTTCCCCCCTGTCGCCGCTCGTCTCCCCTACCAGGACGAGCAGGGTCCGTTTCACGTCCACCCCACGGACCCCTCATGCATGGCTCTGTGTATGCCGCACTGAACCCCGTTTTGCCTCCTTGTTTCCCGTGATCCCCACGCACACACGTGATGTGTCCTGCACTCCCTGTTCTCCCTGTCGCCCCTGTACCTTTGTTCCCCCCCTGTCCCCTCTGTACCCTTGTTCCCCCCCGTTCCCCCCCCCCCCCTCCCCCTCCCCCCCCCCCCGGTTCCCCTCATCTCCCATACCAGGACGAGCAGGGTGCGTTTCACATCGTCCCCTCCGACCCCCCATGCATGGTGCCGTGGGCCTCTGTGGATGCCGCACTGAACCCCCTCATGCCATGCCCACACACCCTGACTGCTGCTGCTGCTGCTGCTGCTGGTAACACGGACCTGGGGAGTGACGCAGGAGGTTTGGGGGAAGACCCCAAGGGCCCTCCGCCCCTGGTTTGCACCATTGGCCCTGGAGAGATGCTGTACCTGTACGTAATCACTGTGAGGAGTGTGGGTGTGGGAGTTGTATGTGAGGGACATGTCTGTAAGGAGAGGCTTGTATGTGAGGGGAGTGAGGGAGGAGGTGTGCGATGGATGGAGATCCAGAAACACAGATGCAACTTGGATGGGATACATTGTGTAACCCAATGTGTTCTGCTTCTCACCGTGCTGTCTCGTGCTGTTCGTTGATGCATTATCCTGATGTATATATTGTTGTGTTTGCAGGCCAAGCATGTGGTATCACCATGTCTCGCAGAGCCCTGGGGAAACAGGCCGAACAATAGCTCTCAATTACTGTACGTCCTCTGCGTGTCATTTCATGTGTGCACCCCTATCTTCTGTATGTAAAAATTTGCAAGCTTATTTCTCCCCCCCACACGTGGACGTTTTGTTGATGACATGTGGTTTTTGTTGTCTTTCGCCTCGATTCCATACAGGGTATGACATGCAGTTCGATGTCAAGTATGCTTACTTCAACCTTGTCCAATCACTTACCCGTTTGTACAAATTATAATATAGGGTTGCGATGCGCAGCTAGCAACTTAATCCAGAGAATGCCAATATTTTGTACTGATTATGCGTTTTGCTCTCTAACGTTTCCGATTGCCTTTTAGGGGGAACTCTATTAGTATACGTTAACAGAATCACTGGGCAGGCAAAAAAACGAATTTCGGATAGCCCACCACAGAAGCCACGCTGATGCTTGTCTCTGATTTGTGCGCAGAGATTTCGCCTCGTGTGGTTCGTAACAACTGTAATTTGATTGGAGTTGAAACTGCGATTCCATCACCTAACTGGCGCATCCTGCCGTGCCACGTCAGTCTGCACCCACGCTCGAACAGAATCTGATGGTGCTGCGTACATTTCGTTACAAGGTTGGGATGGGAAGAAGGAAGATTTTCTCACCTATCCAATCGAAACTGTTCATTGTCGCCACGGGGAAAGATTCGCCCAAGAGTCCTGGCAAAGAAGACAAGCACGCTGAGCCAGCATTTTCTCCTGAAAGCTCTTGCAAGCTGTTTTCTTCAAACATGACCTATGCTTGCCCTCATTCCGTTCCTTGCCATTCTTTTCCGCCAGGGTGTGACGATGACAAGCCTGGTTGGTGGGTTGTGGAATGCCATAGGTTCGACAACACGGCATCCACAAGTCATTCCCCAGATGACATGCAACAGATGAGGGTTCTACGTCAAGGGAATCACGAAGTTCCATGGTACTGTACGTACGCACAGAATTTACGTATCATCCAGCAGGCTTTTGCATGTCAAACAGCAGGTGACACGTCACGTGGAGAGTGGGCTGGGCACGGAAATCTGGTCACAATTGACTCGTCCCTTACTGAAAGCACGCCTGCGATTCCCGCTTCAACTCGGGTCCAACAGTTGCAACGCTCGCCGAACAGTATCAAGCGGGAGGGAGCTGCCTCGCCAACAATTGCGAAATTTCGCTCTTCCGCATTCGCCGCGTCCGTTTGTTTCACGTCCCGTGCAGAGAACTCGGTAAAATTGTCACGTGGGATGCGGCCCGAGATTCCAAGGCGAACGCCTGCCATACCTGAAACTGAAACCCCGTAATCCGAACCGTGCCACAGTGCTCTGCACCACACCTTCGACGGTACGCCGAGCCATGGGACAAGCTCCACCACCTGCAAGCATGGCCATGCAAAGTCTCGAGAAGGTGAACGTCAGGCTTTCCTCCCCACCTCTTTCCGTTCGGGAATTGAACGGAATCGGGACAGCTTGGGCAGGACCGATGACGAGGGTTTGATTGACAGAGTCAGCTCCCCGCAGCGCCACACCGTTCTGCTCCTTTCCGCAGTCAGCAGCACCACATGCATCTCCGCCATCCCCGCACACACCCTCCTCTCCGCTTCTGTCGATATTCCCCCGATACATCCCACCGTCTCCGCATCTTCTCGCGTTTTCCAGTCTCCAAGAAGCCCACGCTTCCCCCGACATCTGCTACGCGCAGCTTCGTCTCCGCCCACCTTTCCGCGTTCAAACCCCAACGCAATTTTTGAGCAGGTCAGCAGCATCCGAGGATTCAGCTCAGCGGCACCGTCAGCTCAGCTTCTCTTCTTCCCCCATCCTTCCCTCTTTCTTGTGAGCTGAGGAACCAAGCATAAAGCAGCAACCTGCTACCGTTTTAGACATCATCTTGGAAATCCGTTTCACCACAGCAGTAGTTTAGGGAGTTCCATCAGTTGGTTTTTGTCGGTTGTTAGTAGTAAGCAGGCCGTTCTTGTTAAGTTTTTTTCTCGGTTTCACCAGAAATAGTTGACATGGCTCCATCAAAGAAGTCTGCGATTTTCTGCTCTGACGAGGACATCATGGTTGATATGGTGATTGCTGCTAGCCAGAAGAAGGGGACAGTCGCTCTTCCGTCGTTCGGACGTGAACTTGTGCCATACTTCGTTCCAGGCTTCACTAACTTTACTGAGGATGCTGTTAACATCAATACGGACGTGGATGCTATTAGGAGGTGAGGATTGTCCCGTGTCTCACGGGTATCGATCCACTTTGTTTAATGGTCGGTAGAGAGGTCACTAAGTGTTTTTTTTCCTCTTATGGGTAACAGGAATGGAGCAAGTGTTCTCGATATTCCCCAACCAGCCACGGTAGCTGGCGGCATGCGGAAAAGTCGTGGCAACACACGGAGATCCCCCAAGAAGAATAGGTCGCGACATGGATCTCCTAACAACGATACTACAGGTCGTTACACGAATAATGGTGCTTCAGCATCCGGCGTGGCGGTTAATTCCTCAACAACCAGCTACCCCGCTCCCGCAGCTGCAGCACCCCTTCCCTCCCGCGATGTAATTACTCCGCCACCTACCTCGGAAGCGTGGGCTGGTCCTGCGTACGTGAACTCTCCTCCTCCTAGCTCTCTTCCTCTTCCCAGCTTCCTTAAGGCTCAGCTTAAGCCGAGCCCTACCAATGTTCGCGTCTCATCGTCGGAACCCTCTTCTCCTCTCGAGCAGTCAGCACCTGGTTCGACTGATTTCGCTCAAGACTACGGCCGCGTTCCCGTGCCGTGTGCCACTGAGCACATGATGGCTTACCCGATGAATACGTTGGTGATTGAAGGTAACCTGAAGAGGCTTCTTCAGGTCGCTTAGAAGCAGTGTCCAAGCTTGAATGGCGACGTGGTGAAAGGATGTGTGGATGAAGGATTCCTGACCTCCGTATTTAAATTGGAGTCAGGAACGGCAAGAGCATCTGCGGAAGTCTTTTCCTGGTAGCCTGGTCCTTTTCCCTTAAGCTCTGGTGTCTCCATAAACTCTACCCCTTACCCCTTCCTCTTGCACTCAATAATAGCACTCCAGTTTGTCTGTTCGTTGAGCTCTCTTGTTCGTGCTCATGTTCGTCTTTCAGTGCGTGTCGTTCGCCGTCTCGCCTGCACATACACATTCCCGCTGTCATCTCTTTCAAGTCTGTCTTTCACATGTCCTATCGCACTTGGGGTACCTAAGCCATGCAATGGTCGGAGCAGCCTATCCCTGATAAGGCTGGAGATGTAACTTCGAAGCTGGTTGGCAATGGATGGAGCAGCATATTCCTCATAAGTTGGACGAAGTATCTTCGAAGCTATTGGTTTCTGTTCGGGTTTGCGTCACCTCTGGTCGGCTCGCGCCTGAAGACTTCAGTGCGCCCGCTTGTAACGCCTTCGCTTGTCCTGGAAGCGTCGCGGCCTCTGCTCTTTCTGCACGTTACCGCTCTTCCTGCTCTGGGTACAGAGCAGCATCTTGGTTCGCATGTATCGCAGACCGCGGCCAGGGAGTGAGCATGGATTTGTGAACCTCAACGTTGGGAGTTGTGCAGTTGTCGTTCTGATGAAGTTTGTGTATCCATGGCTCGTTCTGTTTGGCTAGATGCGATGAGCTGTACGGAGCTTTCATATTTGACGATGTTACTTGATAATCTGGTGTTTGTGCGTCGTGAGTGCTGGATTGGTTTGAACTTGGAATGATGGATATTGTTGAGGACTGTACTACCGTATGCTCAGTTCCACTACCAGATATGCATCATATGATACTACATGAAAATATTCTTGCTTTCTGTCAGGTGGGTAGGGTGATGTTCTCTTCTCTACTCAGGCAGTCACGTGTTCCAACTGCGGGTTGATGCTTTAATACACATGCATCCATAACATTCAAAACCTTGCTCCATAACATTCAAAACCTTGCTCCATAACATTCAGACATCTGTAGCCAGGTAAGGTAGTATCTCCGTATGCCGCGGTAATACTGCATGTCGCTATCTGCACATTGGTGCATCCTATACTGATCTCTGAATGTGCAGGAACCCAGTAAACCTAAAGACGGACTTGATGATGGTTGAAGCATTAAAGGTGGTGGCAGATGGTAGTGTAGTATATACAGTGGACCACAGCATGATCACGTAGACTGTCACCATGCTCCATTATCATCTCTACTTGTCCACCCACAGGGTGTGAATCACAGTGCCGGAAATATCATGAAAGTTAAGCTTTAAGCCTTTGCCATCAATAATGACCGACACAAACCCCTGCTCTGCATAGTAGAACTGGGAGAATGGGTTGGTTGTAGTAGACCGCTTGTGGCTCACCTGTGACCCAGCTCCACTCGTTACAAAGAACAGTGAACTGCATACAGCCAACGAGTCACAGGCGGTAACAGTTCAATACATGGAACATACAGTAGTATAGTGAGTAATGTAGCCAGCTCTGACAGTTATGTAGCATGGTTGTTGGAGGAGCCTAGTCCTGCAGGTTTTTTGGAACAGCTCATTTCATGGTCATTAGCGTGCATGCGCTGAATGAGACATGAGTGCCATGGAATGGAGCGATGGAGTGAACCCCGAGTCATGGAATAAGACCATGCTTGAACCCAAGACCGTGCAGGCATTGCATGGGCCACGACAGGGAAGGTGCAATGAAAGCGCGCCCCACTTCGCAGGTTAATGCAAGAGCTCCAAGTTCTGGGCACGATGACCGTGCATGCACGCGTTGAACGAGGCATGAATGGCATGAAAAATCGCCAGGTCTCAACAACGAGCTGGTTTTTGAGAATTCTCAAAAACCAGAACGAGGCATGAATGGCATGAATAATCGCCAGGTCTCAACAACGACTCACCTCGCTTGCTTTGTTAATGGAAAAGCTCCAGGTTATAATCATGGCCGTCCACTGCTAACGCACATGACAACTCACCTTGCAGGTTCTTGGAAAAGCTCCAGGTTATGGTCATGGCCGTTCATGTAAAAGTCCACCTGGTGCTCCTGCGACAGCGCGCGAGGGCAGTAGGGGACACAGAGGTTGAGGGAGACAGAGGTTGAAGAATTGTACGAGCCCCCATACTTCCCTGTTGCTCTGCAGGTGTTCACATTCCTCGTGCGTTCACCACTGCCCTAATGTTAGGCGTTCCAACTCACCTTGAGGATCGGGTTGAGGTAATGCACGAGCTCAGCTGAGTCGCCATTCTCCCCTGTTGCTCTGCACGTGTCGAAATGCTTTGTCTAGATTACCTTGACGAATCTCAGTAGCAGTTCAGAAGTGGTGCTTCACGTCGCTCACCTTGAGGATGGGGTTGAGGTACTGTATGAGCTCAGCTGAATCGCCGTTCTCCCCTGTGCTGCGCACAGGGTGGTGGCCAATCACAATCTTCCACTTGGCGGTTGACGACGCAAGGGCTGCTCGCAGTGTCTGGGAGGTGATAGCAGAGAGGGGGGAAAGCGGAACGATTGGAGACAGAGAGGGGTGGAAAGGGAGAGTCAGCCGGCGATGGCCAATCACAATCTTCCACTTGGCGGTGGACGACGCAAGGCCTGCTCGCAGTGACTGGAAGGTGATTGCAGAGAGGGCGGGAAGGAGAACAGGTGGGGGGACAGAGAGGTGGGGGAGGGAGAGAAAAGGAGGAAAGGCAGGGAGGAAGAGAGAGCAGGGCGGAGAGAGAAAGATGAGGGTGGGGAACGCATGGACGAGGAGTGGGAAGAGTGAGAAAGATGGAGAGGGTTTGGGAACAAGGCAAAGGATTCTCAAGCAGGAGCGGAGGATTGAAGCTGGAACCAAGCAGATGAGTTAAACACCAACCACCCGATAAATTAAACGCCTACCAATCACAGGAGTGAAACACCAACCTCGATCTGGAAGTGAATTGAGAGGGAATATTCCGGTCTGCCCGTGAAATTCAGCTTCTCTGTTTGGTTGGCCGTGGGTTTCCAGTAGCCAATCAGCATGGGCGACGTGTCAATGAAAAACAACTCCACCGGTGCATCACAGGGCTCTGGCGATTGGCGGGGAGAAAAGGGAGGTCAACGGGGGTAGGACACAGGTTGGGCAGAACATTAGATTTATGAAGGGCGGAGAGAGAGAAAAAAACTCACAATACATGTATGAAATCTCACCATACAGATTCCTCACCGTATAAATACTTAGGGCACGCATCTCTTTCCACGTTGTACGAGCGCTCGCAGCGCCAGCAACAGCTGCTGATCCCCTCAGTTAAAAAAAAAAAAAAAAAAAAAACTAAAAAAAAAAAAAAAAAAACTAAAAAACTAAAAAAAAAAAAAAACTAAAAAACTAAAAAAAAAAAAAACTAAAAAAACTAAAAAAAAAAAAACTCTCATACACAAGAAAAAAGGCTCACCGTATAGATACATGGGGCACGCGTCTCTCCTCACGTTGTACGAGCACTCACAGCGCCAGGGGGTCTCGCAGAGCCCCCAGTTGCTGAGATTACAAGCAGAGAAACTCACCACACGTATTCTCACCGTACAAATACTTGGGGCATGCGTCCCTCCTCACGTTGTTCGGGCGCTCACAGCGCCAGGGTGGGTCGCTGAGCCTCCAGTTGCTGAGCTTACAATCAGAGAATCTCACCACACAGACTCTCACCGTTTAAATACTCGGGGCACGCGTCCCTGCGCACGTTGTACGAGCGCTCGCAGCGCCAGCAACAGCTGCTGAACCCCACGGCTCAAACCAACAACTACGAATTGTACACAAGGATAAAAGATAGAAGCTCACCGTATAGATACTTGGGGCACGCGTCTCTCCTCACGTTGTACGAGCGCTCACAGCGCCAGCGGGGGTCGCGCAGGCGGAGGGCTGGATCGAGCTGTGCCTCGGGATTGCCGTGGTAGTCATGGTTGCCCAGGACTGGCATGGATGGGCGGGACAAATGAGACCGTCAGCAGGATAAATGCAGGTAGAACACTGACACGAGGTCAGTTATGAGTGTTAAGACTTGAAGGGTGGGATGCAGCTGAGCTGCTCCTTGGGATTGCCGTGGTAGTCAGAGCATGTGATACAGTCGTGCAGCAGCTACAGTCACATCCCTTTTATAGTCACATACTGGCGTACCACCGCGTGCGGAGGCTGGGGGCCTGGTAGATCTCAGAGAAGGGGGAGGTGAACTGCAGGTCACATTGCAATCATCATCCAGTATAGTCAGATCCCCGTTATAGTCACAAGCTCAACATAGTCACATACCGGCATACCACTGTGTGCGGAGGCTGGGGGCCTGGTAGATCTCCGAGAAGGAGGAGGTGAACTGCGGGTCGCTTGCAACCATCCTCTGATACAGTCACACTCTCTTATAATCACAAGTCACATACCGGCATACCACTGCGTGCGAAGGCTGGGGGCCTGGTAGATCTCGGAGAAGGAGGAGGTGAACTGCGGGTCGCTGCTGTCTGTCAGCCCGTCCTCATAGAAGTTGTCCCCCGTTGAAATCACAAAGCTGGAACTGATCTGCCCAGCCACTCGCCCCATCTGACGGGTAATGGGAGAAGGGGACAAGGTGGGGGGAGGGGGGAGGTGGGTAGACGGGGGAGGTGGGTGGAGGGCAGGAGGGTCGCTGCTGTCTGTGAGCCCGTCCTCGTTAGAAGTTGTCCCCCGTTGAAATCACAAAGCTGGAACTGATCTCCCCTGCCACTCGCCCCATCTGACAGGAACACAATGGGTAAGTGGTGGGTGGGGGAAGGTGGGGGTGGGGGAAGGGGGGATTTGGAAGGTCGCTACTGTCTGTCAGTCCGTCCTCGTTAGAAGTTGTCCCCCATGGAGATAACGAAGCTGGAGCTTATCGCCACTGCCACGCGTAACCAGAGCATCTGTCACCAGCAATTACAGTGACTCACCGCTCAGCCACGAGCGATTGGTTGTATTCTCCATTCCGACCCCAGTCCCCCACGTGAATACAGTAACCAGCATGGTAACCAGTGCATACATCAACCAGAATCGCAGTGACTCACCGCCTCTGCCACGAGCGATTGGTTGTAGTCGCCATTGCGACCCCAGTCCCCCACCACTAAGAACGACAGCGCTCCCTGCGACTTGACAAGCGTGTCCGTGCTCGCATACGAGGTAATTAAAGACACGGCGCGCCACGGGAATAGTAGCGAGATGCCGACTGTGATGGCCGCGCCGGCGAGAAGGCCGAGAGAGAGGAGGAGGAGCGAGGGGCAGCAGCACAGGCAGCCGGAGCGCTGCTTCACAACCTGGGATATCAAGAACAATTTGTATGGGAAAAGGTTAAGAATAGAATCAGAAGGGCCGTCCGCATGGAAAGTACGAGTTAAGGATAGTTCAAACATCACGTATCCGTATCCATGCGGACGCATAAAGAAGGGAGGCTTCACGCAGCTGGATGAGAGAAGAAAAGCAGTGAAAAGGTAGCGGAAAGCTCTACCTTTCCTGTTGTGAGAGAAATCTCTTCTTCCACCCCCCTTTCCTGCTCCTCCTCTTCCCGCTTCCACTCTTCATCCTCCTGCTCCTCCCCACGAAACTGTTGTCTGTGCTTCCTCGCCGTTCGCGCCATCCAGGCGTCGTCTTCTTCGTCCCATGACCCATTTTGTTGCAATACTTCTCTTTCTCCTCCTCTTCCAACTCCTCCACCTCCCCCCCGAGACGACGCGTCCATCATTTGATCGTAAGCAAGGATGCTACAGTGAGGATACTAGACAGACCGGATTTATTAGGAGTGATTCGCCGTCACATGCGGTTCGCAGTAGCACTACTATTGACGATTAGGAAATTAGGCAAGTACACAATCTCTCGAGGTATTGCATCAACGGACAAGTTCAATCTGTCTGGTGTATGCAAGAAAGCTTCACCTACAATAAGGATAGACGTATTCGACTATCCATACACTTGCATCAGCTCAACTCGACTCGCCGGGCTATGGCAACTTCGAGAGTATAAAGTTTCTGACACCATACACCGTGATTCACGAAGCAACTTCAAGTGAAAGGGAATCAAGAACTGGCCACGAAAAACGGACTGATGCAAAAGGCATGATCAAACGGATTCAAGCCGTAAGGAAGGAGATCAGGGAGTGACTGAAGGATGAAATCAAGCTTGCTTGCAATGTGCAAGCCCTCGAGAACACCGAAGTCGGTTCCAGTCTGGTTCCAGTCGGTTCCAGTCGGTTCCAGTCGGTTCCAGTCAGTTCCAGTCGGTTCCAGTCGGTTCCAGTCGGTTCCAGCTCGGTTCCAGTCGGTTCCAGTCGGTTTCAGTCGGTTCCAGTCGGTTCCAGGGTCGGTTCCAGTCGGTTCCAGTCGGTTCCAGTCGGTTCCAGTCGGTTTCCAGTCGGTTCCAGTCGGTTCCAGTCGGTTCCAGTCGGTTCCAGTCGGTTCCAGTCGGTTCCAGTCGGTTCCAGTCGGTTCCAGTCGGTTCCAGTCGGTTTCCAGTCGGTTCCAGTCGGTTCCAGTCGGTTCCAGTCGGTTCCAGTCGGTTCCAGCGGTTCCAGTCGGTTCCAGTCGGTAGTCGGTTCCAGTCGGTTCCAGTCGGTTCCAGTCGGTTCCAGTCGGTTCAGTCGGTTCCAGTCGTCGTTCCAGTCGGTTTCCAGTCGGTTCCAGTCGGTTCCAGTCGGTTCCAGTCGGTTCCAGTCGGTTCCAGTCGGTTCCAGTCGGTTCCAGTCGGTTCCAGTCGGTCGGTTCCAGTCGGTTCCAGTCGGTTCCAGTCGGTTCCAGTCGGTTCCAGTCGGTTCCAGTCGGTTCCAGTCGGTTCCAGTCGGTTCCAGTCGGTTCCAGTCGGTTCCAGTCGGTTCCAGTCGGTTCCAGTCGGTTCCAGTCGGTTCCAGTCGGTTCCAGTCGGTTCCAGTCGGTTCCAGTCGGTTCCAGTCGGTTCCAGTCGGTTCCAGTCGGTTCCAGTCGGTTCCAGTCGGTTCCAGTCGGTTCCAGTCGGTTCCAGTCGGTTCCAGTCGGTTCCAGTCGGTTCCAGTCGGTTCCAGTCGGTTCCAGTCGGTTCCAGTCGGTTCCAGTCGGTTCCAGTCGGTTCCAGTCGGTTCCAGTCGGTTCCAGTCGGTTCCAGTCGGTTCCAGTCGGTTCCAGTCGGTTCCAGTCGGTTCCAGTCGGTTCCAGTCGGTTCCAGTCGGTTCCAGTCGGTTCCAGTCGGTTCCAGTCGGTTCCAGTCGGTTCCAGTCGGTTCCAGTCGGTTCCAGTCGGTTCCAGTCGGTTCCAGTCGGTTCCAGTCGGTTCCAGTCGGTTCCAGTCGGTTCCAGTCGGTTCCAGTCGGTTCCAGTCGGTTCCAGTCGGTTCCAGTCGGTTCCAGTCGGTTCCAGTCGGTTCCAGTCGGTTCCAGTCGGTTCCAGTCAGCATCAGCAGAGTATGCGAGGATTGCCGAAGAGGCGAAGCGGGGCATGGAAGAGGCAAGCAGCAAGGTGAGGCGAGCAGCAAGGTGAGGCGAGCAGCAAGGTGAGGCGAGTCGCAAGGTGAAGCGAGCACAAGTGTGTTCCAACCCTCCTCTCTGTCACCGGTCCACCGCATTCCCCCATCTTTTTCCAGCCAACCTGTAGATCACCAACGTGTGTGCCCTACAGTCAATCTCGAGTGACAGTTGCTTTAGATGCATACACATGGTTTCATCTCATTTAACCTGGGATTGGAAAACGTGAGGTTCCTGCACTCTTCAACCCCCGGTGCATGTTTTTCTCACCCCCTCCTTTTCCATTCAGGTGCTGCAGCAGGTGGATGCAGAGGCAGACGAGTTTGAGCAGCAGCTGGCAGCAGCGCGGGCAGACATGGAGCGCAGCGAGCGCGAGTTTGACGAGTTTGAAAAGTCCGTGGAGGAGAGGCGCAACTCGCTGCTCTTCTTCAAGCAGCTCTACCGCCGACCCTCCGAGTCCTCGCCTCCTGCTGCTGCCGCTGGTTCACGCGGCTCAGAACCTGCAAGCCGAGGCACAAGGGGATTTGATTCGTCGGATGACTCCTCGTCATCTTCAGCATCGCTGCAGCCCCGCACTCAAACACCCCCTTCGGCTTCGTCCTCGCGATCTGTGCAATCGCTGCCCTCGTCCAATGCGGCGCTCTCTCGCAAGGAGCAAGCACTGAAGGCAGTACCAGAGCTGTTCTCAGCGAATCAAAGGGCGGCTGCATCGCCGTTTCGTCACAAGGTGTATGCTGCCCTTGTGGCTATATCAGGGCTCTCTCTAGTGCAGGCGGTCACGCATGAACCCAAGGAGTGGCTGCAGGTGGCTGCTAGTGGGCTTGTGTTCTCCGCACTGCTGGTGCAAGCACTGTATGAACGATCGCTTGCAGGAAATGGTAAAGTTGATGAGAGAGATACTGGTCGCAACAAGTAGGCTTCTCAATCGTAGGGTGCATCTCTAGTATGAGTATTTGACTGTGTTATCATTACTGTCTGTTACCAGTAGTAGCACAATACAACCAAACTGAAGCAAATGTTGATTTTTTTATTACCCTAATTTCCCTCATGCAACATTTCATTGCCTAAGCGTCCCTACAATAACCGCAATGACTCTTCCTGTGTAGCGAACAGCAACTCTTTAAAAATATCAGAAACCGTCACATTAGAAATCTGGGACGCTAGCGAGTGTGCGTGTAATGGAACGGGAGCAAGTGGAGTTCCGTTTATCGGTCATTAATGTCACTGCGCGGGAAACTGTCTACCATGTGAAGCCATCATGACGAGATGGTACAAGGGCACTTGACTCTTGTGGTGCTGTGTGTGCACCTGGTCCTCACTGCAATGGTTGATGCGCTTTTTGGAAAAAATGCTAGTGCCTCGGCTCCGGGCAGTTCAGCTCAAACCACAAAACATATCCTTGGTGTATTAGCTGTACATTCTCGAGTGATTACCTTATTCAAAGATGGGTTCAATCGTTTCCACAGCTGCCTGTGAAAAGAAAACATACTCTGTATATTTCTATCCATCTGTTTCCGGCATCGGGCAAGCACTGACATGGCCTTTCCCGCATGGCGGGAAGGCCTTTCTGTGGTCGTTCTTGGCTGAGTCGGAGAAAAGCGTGAAAGCCACCCTTGTGAAGTGGTGATTGCGAAATCCCCAACCACGCGAGGCAGTTGGCATCAGTCCCAATGGCAGCTGGGACCATCGGGTCCCTCTCATCGTCGGCTCACGTGAAAGCCCCTACGGGAGCGACGAAAAGCAATGGGGCCTGAGACGCATGATTCTCCACCGATGCAACCCTATTCGCACGCCAGGCAGCCAGCTTGCACGCCGAAGGAAGCTTCCACCCCACTCCCCGTCTCATGACGCTTGCACCTCCTTCCCTCTCGCCTCGAATCTGAGTCATTTCAGTGATCCCCTCATTTCCAGTGACCGAACGCTGCGAAATAAAGCTGAGGGTCCCACAGCTACATTCACAAATCTCAGCAACTCATTCAAGCAACGTCTACGCATAGCAGCAGGATTACGACCCTTTTTACAGTAACCTCTTGCTCTAATTACTCTCTTAAAGAATCGTCAGCATGGTTTACACCGTTGACTTCGAAAGCTTCCCCTCCTCACCCGTCTTAGGGAGCTCAGTGCCTGTGCTGCTGTGATGCGTTGGTGAATCAGACTCCAAGGGTCCAGGGAGTGTCGGTTCAGTCACGCCCCTTCCAAGCACAGTTTGCCCCAGAAAAAGTAGACATTTGCGACGATTCGGGAATGAACCAGATGATAGGGGCCTGAGTTGGCACGAAGTAATTGGTTTATCGGGTCATGGCAATCTGAACTCTGCCTGTAAGTCCAGGTGGCTGGAACCCAAGTGTGACGTCAACACATTCGAATAATCACATTTGAATAAGGGCATACAGAGTAAATGCACACTACTGTATTCAATCATAGAACAGAACATAGTGGCTGAAATAAGCTAAGCTGCAAAACATTGAAACAAGGTACGTAGCAGCAGCTCACATGCACCACGTCCCAGATGCATACATGACTTTATTTCAAATGCCATTACTGATGGTTGTATCTATCCGACTGCACATGTTCATACTCTATAAATGCAAGTAAAAATATGAGTTGTATGAACCGTCTGATTTGATGCCTTGCAACGTCTCTCTTGAAGAAGATATGCATGGAAAATAGTGGTGCTCATATTGCATTCACGTGAATGGAGTGTAGCATTTATTATCAAGTGGCGATATGTCATTTACTCGAGTTGATCAAGGCTCGACCCCTGAATATTAGCGTCAATGGTAGCCATGACCAGACCAATTTCTTGTCACATGAGCAGCACAGCATTGACATCATCCTGGTCAGGAACCTCTTGAAGCTTTGCGTCTGCTGTCCGTGATGACCGTGTCCTTGCCGATAATCGCCTGACATTCGCAACCATCGTCACCATGACTTAACTTTCGGGCCGAATCTGACTGCAAAGAAACCCGGCGCAATGTTGGAAAGTCTCGTGTTCTCGCTGGTGGGAGGTTACCTCTCGCATTACCTCAAGAACTTCCACAAGGAGCAGCTCCGAATCGGAGTATGGCGACGTGAGTCTCACGAACTTAATGTCTTGCTTACGAAGCAGTTAGACCGTGATTAACATCCCTTTCTGCCTCATTCCAGGTCGCTGCATAGTCAGTTCATGAACATACTTGTATGAGCGAATTTCATGGCCCTTGTCGAATATCAGTTGTTTCACTTCGGAATATGAAAGGTTGACAGCCGTTAGATGCAATCCAGCAGCGTGTCTTCAGAATCACCTGAGTCGTCTGCCTTCACAAGCAATTCCGTCGCCTGGCTCAGGATGATCGAGCTGTCTGACCTCAGGATGAATTCAGGTGTCCTCGTTCTGACATTGCAGCCTTCAGGTTCAATTATGTCACTGAGTTGGAATTCAGTCGTCCGACTTCACAACCAATCCTGGTTTTGAGAACAATCTAGTCGCTGCTTTGGAGACCATCCAGTTGTCTCGCTTCAGGATCAATTGAGACTCTGGAATATCAAACCAGCTGGCTTCCGTCAAAAGCAATCTAGTCGCCCGACTTCAAACCTGTTTCACCTGTCTGGCTTCAGAAGCTATCCTGTCGTCTGGTTTCAGAATCAAACCGGTTGTGTGCCTTCAGACGCAATGCCTTCATGTTCAATCCAGTCGTCTGACTTCAAAATCCAATCGTCCGACTTTACAGTTAATTCTATCAGAAGTGTTTGACTTCTGCTGCTTGAACAGGGGTGGTAAGACTAAACGACCTGGAGATCAACACAGCAGCATTCGACCACCTTCAGCTGCCAGTTTCGATCCACCATGGTATATATCTGTCATAGCTTCCATGACGGCGTTGCACTTCAGTTCGCATGCCATCTCATTGCTCTGGGGCATCGAAGTTCACAAAAACTTCCTCAATCTGTAAAACTTCATCGATTGGTTCATATATACCTTTTATCCAATAATAGCTTCTCTGCTAAGCTGCTGGAGTCTGCGATTTCCTTTTGTGTGGTTGCAGGGAAGATCGGTAGTCTCAGCCTGCAGCTGTCCATGAAAAGGCTGGGCCGAGAACCATGCGTGTCTGTGACTATCAGCGACGTGCTTATAGTGATGGCACCAAGGGCTGACCATGAGGTGTGTCCGTGGGAGTACTGGCTCCTTGCTTCTGCACTTCCCTCGCAGTTCCTAAACCCTAAATCCTGGACCTTCGTGGAGCTGTTGAATCACTTTGCTTCGCCCTTCCCCTGCTTTCGTCCTTGTCGTTGATAATTTTTGGCCACTGCTCTAGTACTACTACCTGTTATTCCCTCCTTCGTCACCTTGTGCTTCCCTGCCCGGCTGTGTGCACTGTGCAGTGGTCGGAGGGTCCGGCAGTGGTGAGAGAGAGAGCCGCCAAGAGGGCAGCGCTGGCTGCAGCCGAGGTGGTGAAGATGTCTGAGCAGGGTGAGGTGATGTGAGGGCAGGCAGGCTTAGATGACGTGAGAAAAAGGTTAGGTTGGGGAGCTTTGTGTAGGGTGAAACACCTCATCCTTTGTTGCCACGTCATTGCTTGATGAGTAGAGAGAGCCTCAGCAATGATTTGTTTGCAATCATGTGCTCTCCCGTTTCTTCTCTTCCCTGTTACTGCATCGCTGTTTGCTCCCAGGCAATGGTGTCGGGGCGTCAGCACTCTCATACTTCTCAGCCGTTGTAATGTGCCTCCCTCTTACACCGTTAGTCTGCAATTCACACCGAACTATTAATAGCATGATAATCTTTGTATTTCTTTGCTCACAGCGTGTGTGTCCTACCTAGATGTCCCACATCATCTGCATCACGTGCCCGCATCACCTGCATCACCTGCTTTACCTGCATCAGGCGGAGGGCTGGATCGAGCTGTGCCTCGGGATTGCCGTGGTAGTCATGGTTGCCCAGGACTGGCATGGATGGGCGGGACAAATGAGACCGTCAGCAGGATAAATGCAGGTAGCACACTGACACGAGGTCAGTTATGGGTGTTAAGACTTGAAGGGTGGGATGCAGCTGAGCTGCTCCTTGGGATTGCCGTGGTAGTCAGAGCATGTGATACAGTCGTGCAGCAGCTACAGTCACATCCCTTTTATAGTCACATACTGGCGTACCACCGCGTGCGGAGGCTGGGGGCCTGGTAGATCTCAGAGAAGGGGGAGGTGAACTGCAGGTCACATTGCAATCATCATCCAGTATAGTCAGATCCCCGTTATAGTCACAAGCTCAACATAGTCACATACCGGCATACCACTGTGTGCGGAGGCTGGGGGCCTGGTAGATCTCCGAGAAGGAGGAGGTGAACTGCGGGTCGCTTGCAACCATCCTCTGATACAGTCACACTCTCTTATAATCACAAGTCACATACCGGCATACCACTGCGTGCGAAGGCTGGGGGCCTGGTAGATCTCGGAGAAGGAGGAGGTGAACTGCGGGTCGCTGCTGTCTGTCAGCCCGTCCTCATAGAAGTTGTCCCCCGTTGAAATCACAAAGCTGGAACTGATCTGCCCAGCCACTCGCCCCATCTGACGGGTAATGGGAGAAGGGGACAAGGTGGGGGGAGGGGGGAGGTGGGTAGACGGGGGAGGTGGGTGGAGGGCAGGAGGGTCGCTGCTGTCTGTGAGCCCGTCCTCGTTAGAAGTTGTCCCCCGTTGAAATCACAAAGCTGGAACTGATCTCCCCTGCCACTCGCCCCATCTGACAGGAACACAATGGGTAAGTGGTGGGTGGGGGAAGGTGGGGGTGGGGGAAGGGGGGATTTGGAAGGTCGCTGCTGTCTGTCAGTCCGTCCTCGTTAGAAGTTGTCCCCCATGGAGATAACGAAGCTGGAGCTTATCGCCACTGCCACGCGTAACCAGAGCATCTGTCACCAGCAATTACAGTGACTCACCGCTCAGCCACGAGCGATTGGTTGTATTCTCCATTCCGACCCCAGTCCCCCACGTGAATACAGTAACCAGCATGGTAACCAGTGCATACATCAACCAGAATCGCAGTGACTCACCGCCTCTGCCACGAGCGATTGGTTGTAGTCGCCATTGCGACCCCAGTCCCCCACCACTAAGAACGACAGCGCTCCCTGCGACTTGACAAGCGTGTCCGTGCTCGCATACGAGGTAATTAAAGACACGGCGCGCCACGGGAATAGTAGCGAGATGCCGACTGTGATGGCCGCGCCGGCGAGAAGGCCGAGAGAGAGGAGGAGGAGCGAGGGGCAGCAGCACAGGCAGCCGGAGCGCTGCTTCACAACCTGGGATATCAAGAACAATTTGTATGGGAAAAGGTTAAGAATAGAATCAGAAGGGCCGTCCGCATGGAAAGTACGAGTTAAGGATAGTTCAAACATCACGTATCCGTATCCATGCGGACGCATAAAGAAGGGAGGCTTCACGCAGCTGGATGAGAGAAGAAAAGCAGTGAAAAGGTAGCGGAAAGCTCTACCTTTCCTGTTGTGAGAGAAATCTCTTCTTCCACCCCCCTTTCCTGCTCCTCCTCTTCCCGCTTCCACTCTTCATCCTCCTGCTCCTCCCCACGAAACTGTTGTCTGTGCTTCCTCGCCGTTCGCGCCATCCAGGCGTCGTCTTCTTCGTCCCATGACCCATTTTGTTGCAATACTTCTCTTTCTCCTCCTCTTCCAACTCCTCCACCTCCCCCCCGAGACGACGCGTCCATCATTTGATCGTAAGCAAGGATGCTACAGTGAGGATACTAGACAGACCAGATTTATTAGGAGTGATTCGCCGTCACATGCGGTTCGCAGTAGCACTACTATTGACGATTAGGAAATTAGGCAAGTACACAATCTCTCGAGGTATTGCATCAACGGACAAGTTCAATCTGTCTGGTGTATGCAAGAAAGCTTCACCTACAATAAGGATAGACGTATTCGACTATCCATACACTTGCATCAGCTCAACTCGACTCGCCGGGCTATGGCAACTTCGAGAGTATAAAGTTTCTGACACCATACACCGTGATTCACGAAGCAACTTCAAGTGAAAGGGAATCAAGAACTGGCCACGAAAAACGGACTGATGCAAAAGGCATGATCAAACGGATTCAAGCCGTAAGGAAGGAGATTCAGGGAGTGACTGAAGGATGAAATCAAGCTTGCTTGCAATGTGCAAGCCCTCGAGAACACCGAAGTCGGTTCCAGTCGGTTCCAGTCGGTTCCAGTCGGTTCCAGTCGGTTCCAGTCGGTTCCAGTCGGTTCCAGTCGGTTCCAGTCGGTTCCAGTCGGTTCCAGTCGGTTCCAGTCGGTTCCAGTCGGTTCCAGTCGGTTCCAGTCGGTTCCAGTCGGTTCCAGTCGGTTCCAGTCGGTTCCAGTCGGTTCCAGTCGGTTCCAGTCGGTTCCAGTCGGTTCCAGTCGGTTCCAGTCGGTTCCAGTCGGTTCCAGTCGGTTCCAGTCGGTTCCAGTCGGTTCCAGTCGGTTCCAGTCGGTTCCAGTCGGTTCCAGTCGGTCGGTTCCAGTCGGTTCCAGTCGGTTCCAGTCGGTTCCAGTCGGTTCCAGTCGGTTCCAGTCGGTTCCAGTCGGTTCCAGTCGGTTCCAGTCGGTTCCAGTCGGTTCCAGTCGGTTCCAGTCGGTTCCAGTCGGTTCCAGTCGGTTCCAGTCGGTTCCAGTCGGTTCCAGTCGGTTCCAGTCGGTTCCAGTCGGTTCCAGTCGGTTCCAGTCAGTCGGTTCCAGTCGGTTCCGGTCGGTTCCGGTCGGTTCCAGTCGGTTCCGGTCGGTTCCGGTCGGTTCCAGTCGGTTCCAGTCGGTCGGTTCCAGTCGGTTCCAGTCGGTTCCAGTCGGTTCCAGTCGGTTCCAGTCGGTTCCAGTCGGTCGGTTCCAGTCGGTTCCAGTCGGTTCCAGTCGGTTCCGGTCGGTTCCAGTCGGTCGGTTCCAGTCGGTCGGTTCCAGTCGGTTCCAGTCGGTCGGTTCCAGTCGGTTCCGGTCGGTCGGTTCCAGTCGGTCGGTTCCAGTCGGTCGGTTCCGGTCGGTTCCAGTCGGTCGGTTCCAGTCGGTTCCGGTCGGTTCCGGTCGGTTCCAGTCGGTCGGTTCCAGTCGGTTCCAGTCGGTTCCAGTCGGTTCCAGTCGGTTCCAGTCGGTTCCAGTCGGTTCCAGTCGGTTCCAGTCGGTTCCAGTCGGTTCCAGTCGGTTCCAGTCGGTTCCAGTCGGTTCCAGTCGGTCGGTTCCGGTCGGTTCCAGTCGGTCGGTTCCGGTCGGTTCCAGTCGGTCGGTTCCGGTCGGTTCCAGTCGGTCGGTTCCGGTCGGTTCCAGTCGGTCGGTTCCGGTCGGTTCCAGTCGGTCGGTTCCGGTCGGTTCCAGTCGGTCGGTTCCGGTCGGTTCCAGTCGGTCGGTTCCAGTCGGTCGGTTCCAGTCGGTCGGTTCCAGTCGGTCGGTTCCAGTCGGTCGGTTCCAGTCGGTCGGTTCCAGTCGGTCGGTTCCAGTCGGTCGGTTCCAGTCGGTCGGTTCCAGTCGGTCGGTTCCAGTCGGTCGGTTCCAGTCGGTCGGTTCCAGTCGGTCGGTTCCAGTCGGTCGGTTCCAGTCGGTCGGTTCCAGTCGGTCGGTTCCAGTCGGTCGGTTCCAGTCGGTCGGTTCCAGTCGGTCGGTTCCAGTCGGTCGGTTCCAGTCGGTCGGTTCCAGTCGGTCGGTTCCAGTCGGTTCCAGTCGGTCGGTTCCAGTCGGTCGGTTCCAGTCGGTTCCAGTCGGTTCCAGTCGGTTCCAGTCGGTTCCAGTCGGTTCCAGTCGGTTCCAGTCGGTTCCAGTCGGTTCCAGTCGGTTCCAGTCGGTTCCAGTCGGTTCCAGTCGGTTCCAGTCGGTTCCAGTCGGTTCCAGTCGGTTCCAGTCGGTTCCAGTCGGTTCCAGTCGGTTCCAGTCGGTTCCAGTCGGTTCCAGTCGGTTCCAGTCGGTTCCAGTCGGTTCCAGTCGGTTCCAGTCGGTTCCAGTCGGTTCCAGTCGGTTCCAGTCGGTTCCAGTCGGTTCCAGTCGGTTCCAGTCGGTTCCAGTCGGTTCCAGTCGGTTCCAGTCGGTTCCAGTCGGTTCCAGTCGGTTCCAGTCGGTTCCAGTCGGTTCCAGTCGGTTCCAGTCGGTTCCAGTCGGTTCCAGTCGGTTCCAGTCGGTTCCAGTCGGTTCCAGTCGGTTCCAGTCGGTTCCAGTCGGTTCCAGTCGGTTCCAGTCGGTTCCAGTCGGTTCCAGTCGGTTCCAGTCGGTTCCAGTCGGTTCCAGTCGGTTCCAGTCGGTTCCAGTCGGTTCCAGTCGGTTCCAGTCGGTTCCAGTCGGTGCCAGCTTCACCTTTGACGAACCAGGCGTCAGAGCCCTCGAGGCTGAAAAGCGCGCGAAAGTGGGCTCGGCTCGGCAATCTCAGAAGCACAAAGCCAAGTGATGCTCCCTCCATGTACATAAACCAAGTGAAAAAACCAACCATCTTACCTTACCGCGTACACACAGAGGAGGGGAACTTGGGATAGGTCCTGCACTGGGAGGCAGTGACCAAAACTGCAACCACGACGGGGATCGAACCCGCGACCTTTGGATTCGAAGTCCAACGCGCTAATCCACTGCGCTACGCGGCTCCGAAAAAGGATTGGGGGGTTCTTATCTGGACAAGAGACCACCTTCGCCAGCCAAAACTAGGTCAAATGATGTAGGCAGTGCGGGTGCAGCAGTGCAAAGTTGCGCGCGTCGCCCGCTCGCTCGCTGCATCTGCAGGAGGGCAATGGAGGAAGCTGGTCCCATACGCTGGTCACAGGAAGCCACATTGCGAGTCGCATCGCCGCGTCACACGGGACGACTCGTAAATTTCCCCAAATTACAGAGCTCTTCATTCCAAACCCAGCCCTACCAAACTGAACCATAACAAACCCTTGTTTAATCCTCGGTATCCCATAGTACCTCGAGTTGTTTGGAGTCCAAGTTCCAACCACTGGACCTGAGGAATTTTGGGGGGATGTTTGTGCGACGCTGCCAGTCTTCTCATTTTCCACTCCACCCACTGCGCCATTATTGCATGCATCAACTCTCCCACCCAACCCAGTGTCATGCGGAGACTATGATCTGCTAAACATAGCGGTCACCGCGGTTGATTATTTGCATCAGAGAGAGGATCATTTAGGGAAGACTAGGTGCGGCGCGCCACGTAGGCTCCTCCTGTTGCGCTCAGTTTGTGGATGATTGAGGCTGAGTGTCGAGCACTATAGATGTTAGAAACCCGAAGCATTACTACGCATTCCACTACAACTCTCAGACCCTGTGGGACTGCTTCGGGAACTTGTGGTCTAACTACCAGTCTGGCGCCTTCCACTCCAGCGTTTAGCAGAACAGCTCCGTTGAGCATCACGCCTGCTACCAACGTCTTCTGTTAGAAGCATCGTTGGTCCCACTCCTACTCGGAGCACAGAGTTCTAAACCCTCAGTATCATTTTTTTCTTGTAATAGCTTGTAGCGCCCGCTTGAAAGGAGCGAAACGCGTCATCGTTAACCTTCGCTACTGGAACCGCTACTAGTGATCCTCCCGCTGGTGTTTCGAATTCGACGTTTGATTTCTCGTACGACGCGCAGTTCGAGATCAACACATCCGCGCTACCTTCACTCCCCCGCGGCTATCATGTACCACTCGAATTTCGAGTGGACGATCTTCGACGAAGATGGTAACCTGAATTCGTCCGTCCTCGTGCAAGCAGCTTCGGGAGATGCGCCCACGGTGAAAACGAAGGTTTCCGCCAAGTCTGCTAGCGCACAGGCAGCCGCGAGCAAGCCTGCGCGGCTATCGAGGGACCTGACGACGGCCGACGGCTGCGACGGCGAAATCATGGGCGACACCTCGGCGACGAATGCACTGTCGCAAGCCGGCGACCTTTGCTGCGGTTGGAGCTGTGGCGAAAACGGTCAGCGCAAATGGCGGACGAAGGAGAACTGGGTGGCGAACCTCCTCCCCCTCGAGCTCAGTAGCGCGATTGGCGGCGGAGATGAAGCTTCGAAGAAGCAGGCGATGCTAGACGGAGAGGTTAAAGCGGGAGTTGTCGATCTGGATGCTATAACGAGCAACCTCGGGATTTACGAGCTCGCGGTGTCGTCGTCTCTTTGGGGCGAAGTGTTTCGATACATAAGCTCGAGCGATGGGGCTTCCGATACTGTCGCTTCGATTGCTACTAATAAATCAACCAAGAAGGTCAATGCTGACGCTTTTTCGGTGTTGGAGCGCCTATGGAATACCGCCACGTCAGCAGTTGCTGCCAATGCTCTCGGAGATAAACCCAAGGGAGCGAGCAAAACTGAGACGGTGTCAACTAAAGCGCGTACAATCTTCTCCCTGCTGCAGCCACAGCATTACCTGCCGCCGCAACTGCCGGAGCATGCGGGAAGAA